CCTTGGAAACTACCATAAAAAAAAGAAAACTGCTGGGTGGGCAGGACGGCAATACTACTGTGATAAAGGCACATTTTCTTGTGCTTTGCCAGCTGCCTGTCAGTAGGCACTTGCCACCTCTTGCCCTTTGAGTAACCAGCAAGTCTTTCTAGGAGAAGGACTTAATGTTTTGTTCTGCATACACGCAGTGCTTATGACTGGGACTCTTAACTGTCAGCAGTTACAGTGTGATTGAACCCACACACTGTCTCCCAAATCCTTGAGAAATGTGTGTGTGTGTGTGTGTTTAAGAACACCCAAAACTGTTCTGTGAAATGTTTCTTTCTGATACTGCAGCATCTTGTGGCAAAATAATATCAAGAACACTTGCCTCTTTAAATACTGTAATCCTTGGAGTTAAAATCAAGTGTTCTACATATATATCATATATTTTGCTGGTCCAGATATGGGACTTTTGCTGTCAGAGAAACAAACACAAAAATTCTTTGTTCACTTAAGTCAATCATTCTAACCTGCACATCCAGAAAGCTGGTTAATGTTCTTGTTTGCAAAAATTGTCAATTAAAATCTTCCTCACAGTAATGGCGAGAAACTATGGAGAAAAGGAAGATGAGGCACAGAGGTCATTTCAGAAGAGCACTTCCAGCAAATCAAAACACACTCCCCTGAAACATGAAAGAAGAACACAAGCACAAGGAGGAATTTGTGCAAAATTGAAACTTTACAGAACCGGCAAATTTATCCTCAGGGCTGCTAGGAAAAGCTTCAGTTGCAACTCACACCAGGTGTGGCCTTCAGTATTAACCAGCTTCTGTGGATCAGCCACAAGAGTTTGATGTTCCTACATTAGAGGAGAATGACGAAGAACCAAAGGGGAATGAAAGAGCTTAACACCACAAAAGCAAAACAAAAAATCCACAAAGAAGTAATTGCCTAGACACAGATAAAGTTGTATTTCGCCACCCAGTCACAGCACAGGACTCAGCCTAAACACCAAGCTCTTTTCCTTGCCACTGTTGAGATGTCAGTTGTCTTTGCTGTTCAACAATTAAGGTGAACCAAAAGCAAGTGATGTAGAATTGGTTAAACAGGCCAGTTCAGGCCATCTTTCATACAAAAGGAAAATGAAATGTCAGGAACAGACTTCGGGCTGCTGCCAGAAGGGCTACGGAGACGTGTGAGAGACCACAAAGCTCTGACAGCAACTGTGAAGATGGGCACGTTCAACATGCTCCAGGGCAAGAGTCCCCTGGCCGTCGGCACGGCTGCCACAGTGGCCAGGGCAGGGGCTGCCCAATGGGAAGAATTTGCAGGGAAACAGGCCCGAAGCAGTTAAAGGCTGTGAAGACAAAGAAGTGCAAAGCTATCCAGGGCTACCCAAGACATTGCACGAAAAGTTCAGTGGCAAGAATCATTCTGAGAGAAAAAATCAGAGCAAAAGGACCGTGCTGTCAGCATGTAGCAACAAGGCTCGGGGAAGAGCGAATGGACAAGCTGAGCTAAAAGGCTTAGGCTATCTCAAACTTAATGAGGGCCTGTGATTCACTTGGATACCTGAAACTGAAGCAGGGAATGCCTTCAATTAGTGAGAGTTCACAACAGGACTCAACAGTTAAACCTTGTTTAGTTTTGTTTTTTTTTTAAGCCAGACATCATTGTTAACCGACGCTACTCAAAAGGCACAGCACGTTGTAATTCCAGCTGCAGAGCAAGCAGAGAAACAGGCAACGCAGGCCAGAGAGAAAAAGTAAGGTTTAAAAATAAATTTCAAAAGAACAATTTGTGAGGATTTTTTTTTTTTTTGCCACAGCACACGGTCACACAAACAGCAGGGTCCACACGACAGATTGGTTCTTTGCTGCTGGCTGTCCCAATCCAGCCTCCCCTACACCAGCTCTGCTGTTTGTATGACTTTGGGCTGAACTGCTTCTCTGTTAAGTCAGCAGAAAACTAAGCCAACAAAAAGTGCAATAGGTTTTTGCCGGGATGTCATGCAAAAACAGTTGAGCAGAGGCTGAGAAAGGAGACAGGCTTAGCTGCTCTGGCAATGCAGGCTCCGTCTGATTAGCCAGTGCATCCCCAGTAGCTTTACTGGCACTTTAAAGCTCCAAGTGAGGCTATAATATTATAAATATTTATCTCAGCACAGACACCATCTTATGTGGCATTATCTCATCTTCCCCCTGTCGCACATATAACCGTTTGTCCAGCCTCTGTCTGCGAGGGGAAGGAAAGGGATTTTTTTGTTGTAGTTGTTTTCAATCAAGACCAACTCTCCAGTTTAGCTTATCATGTGGCTCTATAAACAGGTGTGCTGGCAAGTGAGGGGTTGCACAGGACTGGAAACAAGCAGCTGGAGGAAGGAGGCTGCTCAAGTCAGGACAGAAAATAAAAAATACCTGTACTTGTGAAGCTGCCTCGAAAGTTCTGGCCATGATATTCTCCTTAGTGTCTACACACTTAGCAGGAGGTTCTGCTCTAAAATAACTATGGCTTAAGGAAAAAAATAAAATAATAAATATATAAAATATATATTTTAAAATAAATATATAAAAATTATAAACATGTAAAATAAATATATAAAATAACAAAAATATATTACATATAATATATATCATCATCCCATCTCACAGTGTGTAATCTACAATACATACATTAAGATATTTTTTCTGCTATACAGGAAATAAATTTAATTGCAGACCCTGTCATGGATTTCTTATGTTCTGAGAGCCAATCTCATTGCTCATGGTCCCTAAAATATCTCTCCTGGCCGTGCAGTTCTGCCACTTACCTTGCGCTATTTCCAGCACCTCTGGGACTCTTTCACAAGCTCATGGCACTAACCTACATGGCAAAAAACATTATCTCCAATTGCTCATGCAAGAATCTAATAAGTGCCAGATCCAATGACAGGAAAGGATGAACTGCACAAGAACAGTGGCAAGAGAAACGTGGAGCAGTGGAAAATTTCTACTTTTAAGCAAAAGCGAGTAAATACACTTGTTAAGCTACTTACAGAACCATTTACACTTGTGACTACCTGCAAAGTTTATTTAAGGAGGCCACTCTAGGAACTATTGCTTTTAATAATCTAACAAGGATCTAAAAATCTGAAACTTCAGTTCTTGGCTCAGCAGAGCAAAGGCAGTCTCATTTTGAAACCAGTTTCACAGGGATTTGTGTTCTGTAGAATAAAATCTGAACAAGAGCCTTTAGCTGGCAACACACAAAGGTTTTCCTCTATTGCAGCTACGCTGCTTTGTCTCCCAACAGAGAAACTGGGGCCAAAGATGAACAAAGCAAAAAAGACTGTTAAAGACAAACAGGTGGATAAGACCAAAAAAAAGCATGAAATACAAGGATATGCCCTCAGTGCCTGAGGGGAGCACTGAATGGAGGGGAATCCAAAGCCAAGGTGACATTTTTGGGCTCCAAAACCTGGATCAAGACTCAAGATTGCAGCCAACCTACTTCCATTCAGATGATACAAATCAGCCTTCCCCCTTGAAAAGATTGCTCAGTGCAGAGATCAAGTCACTTCACCCAGCCCATGAAAAATGTTAGCTACCCTAAATGCTGCTTCATTAAAAAAAAAAAAAAAGATGGAGATCATTTCTTCTAGGCACAGAATACTTAGGGAGACCAGAAGCTTACTTCTATAAAGATGAACAAGAAAATATGAGAAAATAGAAAATCAGTAATTATTCTTTAAAAAGAAGAAAGCCCTCAAGATAATGCAATACACACAAATAGAATTTCTGCCTGTTCAACCTTTTTGTTGCTATTCAGAGAACATCAGTGTGACATATGTCTTTTTTTTTTCCCAAATTCAGTATGATGTACAACAGGTTTCAATCCTTTATTTTTTATTGGTATTAATTCTTGTTACTTTTAAAGATTTCTGTAAGAAGATATCCCTCTATCTTCCTGTTCACTAGTCAACAACTTTGTATAAGAAACATTTCCATTCTCTATCTGTAAGTACATAGATTGAGTCATATCACAACCAAAAAGTATATGCATTCTATAACAATGCAAAAAACTTCCCCGTCCTTTCTATGATTACCAATGAATTTAAATAGCAACAGTACTTTCAAGTAATTCGGTTCCCTTTATGTAATTTGCAGCAATATGTAGGTATGCTATAAGCATATACATAGATTTTTCTCTGCTTGTTTATGGGTGCGAGCATGAGAAACCTCATGTTTCACATCACTGCACCTCTCCAAGAGCATCGTTCCACAGGTACTCAAAATTCAACTTTAGGATTAACGTAAGCCTACTGCAAAGCAGAAACAAGCCTTTCACCTTATTCTAAAGTTTAAACACATTCAACAATTTTTATAAAAACTGGTTGACCGTTCAGCCACAAGTTTATTTTGCCTGTGACCCTAACAATAAGCTCAACTTGTCTGTTGTTGCTTGCACAGGCTGAATTCTTAATATGAAAAGTGTCTGCCCACCCACATGCTGTCATGGGAACACGAGGGCCTCCTGGCGAGGTTCTACAATGCAGCTGGACCAATCCAATGGCTCTCTGCCACCAAAATAAGGCAGTCTTACTCTGTCTTCCATCACCTTTCCTCTGCTGTTCCTCTGCACTGGCTCGGGGACATCTGAACCCTGATTTGCCTGAGTTTGCTGAATTGGCAGAGAAATAATTCGGCAGGAAAAGGGAATGGTTTCTGTCTGTTTATCAAGTGAAGTCAGATGAATACTAACACAAGGAACTACGGGACACTTCTTTCAATGCAATCCAGCCATTTAACTGGTTCAGCCATCTTGTGGAATCTCAAATATGGTGACAGGAATGCTTGAGACAAAGGGAAGGGTGAGGGAAGAAGTGCTTTGGGTTTTTTTACGCTTCTACTTTAAGATTATTATTAATACTAGCATAAAATGAAGTAGCATTCTTACCTTTTATTGCAATTTTATCCGTTCACTTACATCACTGTTTAGCAACTTAAAACCATAATATAATAAACAAAATAATTACTTACCTACAAATCCTTTCTCTCCAACTAATTTAAGGGCAATTTTATCTGCCAAAACAGAAGAGTTTCCATGTGCAATGTTAGCAAAAGGTCCAGCGTGAACAAACACCGGTGTTCCCTGAATGATAAAAAAAAATGTATCATTAATTTAATGGATAGGTAAGAGCACAAGCTCAATACTCTTGCAGACTAATCAAAATTACATGTAAATCAAAAGCACATATAATGAGTAAGCACTGTGGGATAATTGAGGGGGATTAGGCACATCTCAGGTGTATCAGAACCAGCTTCATTCACAGAAAGGTAAATGGGCAGCAGTGCAACCTGTAGGTAACTGACACAGCTTCTCTCCCAATCTTGTCCTCATCTTTCATATTCCCCATGCCCTAATGCTGTGGAGTGCTATTGTACTATCATCAGCACTAAGTGCATTGCTGGAGAGGGTACCCAAACAGAGCCCAGCTCCTGCCCTGCTCCATCCCTTACTCCTCCATCCCTGTTTTCCTCATTAGTTGCCACTCCTGTGCAGGAACAGTAGCCATTGGAAGCAACGAGGGACCAGAATCAATGGTTAACGAGCCAGAGAGGGAGAAGGGAAGGGACATGGCTGGGGTGCAGTGGGGATGCTGATACACAATGGAAAAAGCATCCACTGCTGCTGATCGAGTGCCTGGGAGCCCCGGGTACACACACACACAGCCCAATTCCCCTAAGATAGACACTGTACAAATGCACAAAGAAAGTGGACTCTGTAGCAGGGAGCAATCTAAAACAGCAAAAGGACAGGCAAGGAGTTAACAAAGTAATGGCATAGGGAAATTTGTCAGATCGCAAGCAAATCTCAGCTTCCCCGTTATTTTTTCAGCATCACAAGGAAAGGAGAAATTAGAAAATTAGCATTTACAGAAACAGATAAGGATTAGGTGAGAGATATTAACTGCTATCTTTTCTCCAAGTCAGAATACACAGTCAGAGGGAAGGATGTCACGTCAGACAAAATACTTAAGCAAACAAATCCCCCTTGTTGTGTTAATGCTTTTAAAAATCCCCAGCTGGTTAAAGAAAAGGTAAGCAGATAATTTCACATTCTCTCCATCAGTGTTCTTCTCACACTCTGTATTAGGAGCTACTGCCAACCCTCAAAATTTCAGGCAACCTACTGGGCAATCTTCCTCAATTTTTGACCAGAAATACCAATTATGGAGGATCGTATTTCATGGATCAGCTGCAGGCCACATCCAATAGTCCCATGAACCACAACTTGGAAACTATTAACCATTTAATAAAAGCTGGTTGTTTCCCCTCTGAAAGTGTCTTAAGAGAACAACCTACATAGACAAAAATTTTCATGTTTTCCATAAAACACCAGAACAATTGGATTACAGTAGTGAAATACTTGCCACTATAGAAAACAGATTTTCATGTTACAGTAATACCGAATACAAATCATATAAAATATATCAAGAACAAGCACCTGTTCTTATTGCTTCCTCTAGAAGTAATTATACGCAATTATTTTGCTTTGAGCAAAGACAAGTAACTTTTTATCTACTGGCATGTCAAAGTACAGGTGTGTTCTAATAAAATGGGATTATTTTTTTTTTTTAAATCAAGAGTGGAAAAATAAGAATATGCATACATATGGGCAGGGATGTTCTCCAAAAAATGGACAATTAAGCTACAATCCAAAGACAGTTCTGCTTCATACATGTTAGAGAAGAAACAGTGAAACAGAAGCAGAAAAAGTAAATAAACCAGAAATCATGCGCTGTAACAAAAGGAATGATGCAGATTATTATCATCATAACACACAATTCATAGTATATACTTAGGAATTTTTTTTCTTGTTTTCTATCTGTTAATGGCTGCAATATCAATTGAGGTTTTACATATTTATGCAAAAAATTAACTTGAACTACGTACACTTTTGAAGCTTCTTACAGTATTTAGGCATCAATCTAACAGGAGGTGCTGTGCAAAATAAATTCCCCCTATCCCAAAGAATTTATAACGTATACAAAATAAAATGCAAGGCACTTCCACCAACCTAAGTTTAAGTTTTACTTCCTTAAGTTTTACTTCAATCCAGTATTTACTTTTCTGGTATTCAAATAAGTAAGACTGCAGTTGTCAGCTACCAGATTGAAAGACACGGGATTGATTCCGATTTGTGTTTTATTACTCACTAAGTTAAATTTTACTTTTCCAAGCCCTTAATTTCTTGTGGCAAGCAACTACAGGGCTGCTCTCTGATCAGAGCCCAGCACACCCATGGGCGGATGCGATGCATGGAAGCACAAACACAGATGAGGAGAGGGCACCCCAGCCCATCCTGTAACAGCAGAGCGTGCAGTGAGGGGGGACAGAAGGGTGTCCTACAACATTCCCTGAGCAATTGTGCTTCAAAGAGTTTACCTGCACAAGGTGGATGGGAAGGAAATTTGGATTGTGGGATCCAACATCCAGAATATCACCCCCTACCACTAACTTGAAATCCAAACACACTACTAAGCCACTGGCACGGACATATACTCCCCTGGAGCTCTGAAATCCACCAGAAGAAAAGGAGGAGTGATTTGAATGGTCTTTTTAAAAGGGTAACCCTGGAGGAAAAATACAGTCTAGGTACTGAAGGGAGTGAACTCCAGCAGGATCTTGGGAGCCTCAAGTACACCCTGGAACAGGGACAACAATGTCTTCTCGGGCCAGCTTCAGTAACTCAGTGTCAGCCCATCCATCCCACCCGGCAGCCTGCCACTTATTTTCCTTACACTCTTAATAAACTATATGAAGAAACAAACAGTGGCACAGGGATGCATTCTGCTGACTGTTTTCAGAGCAGGAAATTTTATTTTCCAAGTCTTAATAAAAGAAAATAAACCCCGAATGCCAATAAATATCTGAAGCTATCTGGCAGCTAGAAGGATGTTTATAATACTTATTACCATCCTCCCCTCCACTTTACTGTGAGTGGCACTTTAAATTTAATACGAGCAGCCCATCCCAGAGAAGCCAGCCTGCAACTACAGAGCTGTCCCGTAGAGCAGCTGTTCTGTTATGCGAGGTCTAAATAAATGCTAAACATTAAGGGATCAGTTCATGAGAGAACAAATCTGTCATGACAAACGTGGATAAACACTATGAAATCATTATGCGCATTTCAAACAGAGTCATCTCAGTTCTAGAGCACTGGATGTAAGTTCTACTGCAGCCTACATTTGTTGTAGGTGGGATGCTCCACGTTTCCCATTTTGAGATTTTAGTGTCATTCCTGCACATAAAACCCTGTTAATCACTAACACCCTGAGACAGCATTTCTCGTGGCAGAGTAGCAGGGCTGTGATCAACCCAACTGAGAAACCTCTTTTAAAAAACAGCAAAATTTAAACAAAGACATCAATTCACATATGAAAAAAATCACTGACACAAGTTGCCAGTTGAGTTCTACGCAGGACTGGCATTCTGTCATTTTTGATTTATAAGCTTCTAAACCTCTTCACCAGCACACGCAGATGCCCATATAAATCTGGTGCAAATGTACTGAGTAGGTTGCTCTTCTCCCTTTCACAGGCTTTTAGAAGCAACTCCTCAGACCCCCACAGCTCAACGCAATATACCCACCTACCGACCCTTCATCAGATCAGAGGACTGCAGCTGTCTCTGCAATGGCTACTTTCAGCCACTGCTACCCACAGACACTATCACTTACAAATTATGCCAAATTACATGGAATTCATCCAGAAGATCTTCTGCTCCCCCTCCTCAGGCAGCCTTTGTGCCATTCCCTAATACCAAAGTGATCTGGAAGACCTACTTTGGTGAACAGTTTCATCCCTACTTGCAGGAGAGGTCCACGGCACAGTCTGAGCTGCATTTGAGTTCTCTGTAATCAGACTATCCTGTTTGTATACCTCCTGTGTGCTGTAGGATCATTTCTGATGTTACTGTTGTCAAGTCAAGGTGCTGTTGCTAAAGGTCTTTACGCTTGTATTGAGAACTTGTTCTCCCTGAAATGGTTAGGATTACATGGCCCAATTACTATCAGTAGCCTCTTTGGAAACTTAAGAGGTCCCTCTTCTTCTTTTGGATGTTACTTATTAGGATTTTTTTCCAGCGTAATTTAGGCTTCAGTTCTCCTCGTTTCTGGTTTGCAAGAAGAAAGACTTGCAATTTACATACTCATCAGAAATATGTCATTCTCTATATAACAGAAGAGACTTTATTACATCCAGCATTCTCAGGGTACACTAGGATTAGCTTGTCTTAAAACCTGTCATACTGGAAGGCTCTAAACTCACAGGTGGACTGCTGCACTACATTCAAGTGTGCAGGGCAAAACATCTTCCTTGTTCCTTTTCCTCCCTTTTTGGGGAAAAAATGGAAATTATTAAAATTAGCATCTCTCAAAGCTATTAACATGAATAATTCAAAATACGAAAGGTATTTATTCACAAAATGGGATATGACACAAGCTTGAGGCTTAAGAACAGAAACAGCATGGGCACTAGCAGAGTGAGCTATTGCATCTCTACACAAGAGATCTCAGAAAAGATTTAAATAAGCTGGAGATGTCCATTCCTGGACAGTGACTCGTATTAGCTTGCAAGCCAGCAGGTATTTGAAGGGTGACAGAAGTTCGTCTTTAAGACTCAAATGGCAGGAATGGAGCATGAAGCACTCTTCTGAGCTGCTTTAGTTTTAAAAATAACTTTGCAAGAAGAAATTTTGGGAAAAATATCCTTGGGTACTGCAGTCAGGGTCCTCCTAACAAGCAACAATGTTTGATGAAAGTTGGCAGATGTTTCAGTCAGAGCATAGATTACGCTAGAAAAGAATACCACATAAAAGGCAGGAATTTTATTACATAGAAATATGAATATAAAGAAATGCAGTGAGGAAAAAAAAAAGCATGCAAGCCTGAGAATCAAATGCCTATCAATCAAAAGAAACTCTTCTGACGTTTATAACTGTCTTTTAGAGCACTATAACAAAACCACATTATTTTTCTAACAGATATGCAAAGCGCAAACAGAGTGATGCAGACTAAACGCTCAGAATCAAAGCTACCTTGTCACTGATGCTTAATGCACAAAATATTATCCAAGTGGTGATATAATACCCAGTTCTTTCTTTGACATTTTTGATTCTACATGACCTCCAGTTTCTGCTATTGGATGTTATATTAAATTCTGACACATATATATTCTACCTACAGCCACATGCAAGAACGGATGTTCCGTGCAGAAGAAAGTAATTAAGATGGCTATAGTAAAATAACATAGACTTAAATTATTTTTTTCTTTTATTTCCTGAGAGTATGAAGTTGTCCTCATCCAAACACAAAAGCATAAAAGGTAATTATCACTTTGCCTTGCTGTAGAAAATAAGACATTTTTACCAACCGGGCATTGCACTGGTATGTTTCACCATTCTTCAACTTTTCACCACACCAGGAATTGTGAAGTATTCCAGCTATGTAACTTTCAAACTTTCAAGCATATATATTCATTTTTCTTCAAAAGCATTTGTTTCCAAAACTGCTTCATTATTTCCCCATTTTCCTTCCTCCTTCTCCCCACGAATATTGCTAATCATTCAGCTTACTATTGAAAAGGCAATACTAGACTGCCCAGACACAAGTTAGGTTGTAGTAATTCTCATTCTTTGAGCTGTTGGAAGAAAGCTCACTACAGTCAGTGTAAAATATTCCTCTCACTGGCCAGCAAAGCTTCATTTAGTCCCTGAAGGCACTATGGCAAGATAGGGTGGGTGGGAGCCATCTTTTGAAAAACTGCAAACAAGACCGTCCTGTGTTTCTGAACAGCACAAACTATAACACAGAACAGAATGGCCTCAGCTAAGCATCCACTGCTCACTTAAAACTCAGCTGTGGGAATCATCATGGGAATATACATATAAAGGAAATACATAATAAGGGAACTTCTCTAGAAGAGCAAGATGGGAAACAGAAAGAAGTCTATCACTTGGAAGCCCAACCTCCCCTCCAGCGTGCTCAGAAGCAGTTCTACAGCGCACTGCAGCTTGTCATTATTATTTTAACTATAATATACTTTTAATTATAACTAAAGCCAGTGTCTCAAAGAAAGCCAAAAAAGAACCCACCAAAAAGGTATAAATGCAGATAGAGTTGATTTGTTAACAGACACAAATGAACATTTGCTAAAATGTTTTTACGGATTTGACCATGGCTTGAACCAGGGTCAAATTTGACCTTGAAAGTTAAGCACAGCTGCTGGAGAAGCAGAACAAGCGCAACATGGAATCTGAAAGCCAGAGAAGGGCAGGCACCATAAGCCATACTCACCTCCAATGTCTGCATCAGCGTGGGCTTAATTGCGTCTTTCATCAAAACTGCCAAAGCACCTGTTACTCCCTAAAAAACAAGAGCCCACATTTTAAGGAAGTCAGTTCTAAGATGCAACATTTCTGAGGTACACTTAAGCTTAAAGTTAAAACAGGGTTACACTTCAAACGAGAAAAAGAAAGTGTGCTGCTCATAACCATAATGGATAAACAGTGATACAGCATTGCATAAAGAATTTATTTAGCTGTTACCTCAAGACTTCTAACATACTGTATTTGCAGTTGCCAGAAATAGTAATAATTTTCCTCTGAATACACTAAAAAGTCAGTATGTAAATACTGACTCCTACTTCACGGAGAGACCAGAAACAGAGTTATTAAGTGATCAGCATGAGGATGTTCATGGGAACACAAGATGAAGCAGAAGCAAAGGCCACTGAGACCTGAGAAAGCAAGAAGGAAATAACGTGCTAAAACTGCCTGAAGAAATGACAGATGTATTTCTTTCATGACAGAATCAATAGCATGAATCAATAGCTAGCAACTACCAGACAGGGTATTTTTCAAGACTTGTACAAATATATATGTAATAGACACAGAATGAAAGCAGACACAGAGCTGACTAGGGGTAGACAATGAATACATCATGAGATTAAAAGCCAGAGGTGCCTTGCTGTGATGATGAGAAGACAAAAGGAGCTGTGTGAATTGCTGCATTTTAGTTGTAAAAAACAAAGTAAGAAAAATATTACTTCTTCCTAAAACTTTTGCTGGAAGTTAAGTATAAATTTCATGCTGACTGAATTTAAAATAAGAGAAAGTCATGACATCCCTCTACACTAAAATCCAATGCCCATTTTTGAAATCAAACTATATGCAGAGTGCTGTCTAGAAACCATAAGCATATATTTCAATTTATTCCTAAATTTCTTTGATTTTCAGAAGAAAATGTGTTTTGTTTTGAACTAACCAGATCATGGATGGAAAAAAATGCAGTAGTATTATAAGCAGTGGCTCATTTGATTGTTTGAACAATCAAACTCTGTGTGAAAATCAGAACGACAAACAAATGAGAGACATAAAAGTGTGTGGTCATTACATTAGTACAGTATTTTATACAAATTCAAGTTTCCCCTTTCTGAGCACCACATCTGAACATTGACTTCAGAGGAAAATAAGGCAGAATATTTGGCCTTGGATAAAAATGGATTGAAACCAAAATAGTAAAACTGGTTTTTACTAAAGCATACCAAATGTTTCCTTGGGGAAGAGTGAAGGAAAGGAGAGAAAAGAGGGAAAGACATTTCTTTGTTCTTTGCATTTTGTAAACCTCCACTATCTACAAGCCCCAATTGTCCCACAAAGAGGTAATAAGAGAAAACGGTAGCAAAACAATACAGTTTTCCCCTCTTTTGAATTAGTAAAGAGTAAATTTCTGTTTCTTCATATGTTAATTTTAGAAGTTAGGATCAAAACAGCAAGGGAACACCAGTGTGTCAGCTCAATGGCTGAGGCTCCATCGCTTCCATAGAAGCAGCCTGGGGCTATGTTCTAACCATACCCAACTACTCTCATTGGACTCTAAAGCTGACAGACTAAATATAAAGAAAAGGAAAATACGTTAAAATAAGAAATGAAATTATTATTGCTTTTCACCTCCCCGGGCTCCTGTATAGCTACAGATTGTTTTAATTGCTAAGATTATAAACTACTTATTTTCAATAAAGAAATTAAAAATGCAGAACAAATCTCAACAAACAATATTTCATAAAGGTTCATTTAACTAGTACCCAATAAAAATCTTCTGTTTTTAGAATAAAGAGTAACTTCGATATTTCATCCATAAATGAGTTTTCTTTTTAGGACAATGTAAAAATAGCTGCCACTGTTACTGCCTTTGATTTCTTGTATTTAAATAATTTGTAGAAGTCTTTCTAAAGTGGGCATTTTTCTTAGAATATTAAATTGTAAATCTATTCAATATAACAACTTGTTTTATAAAACTAATTTGATTCACTTCCAAATCTGAGGCACTTACAAAGCAAAATAGTGAATACCCTGTCCCAGCCCTAACAATTTAACATGAAATGGAACAAATTTCAATCCCAGCAATCTCTTCATTATACCCCAGCTTTTAATCCTACTAATTTATCAAAACAAATACATTATTCTTCCTGCTGATCATAGTGCAGAATTTGAATTCATTAAAAAAAAGCCCCACACTAGAATTTGCAATATAGTTATTGAATACATCTATAAGCCTGTTTTTTTTTCCTGCTGTTTGATCAGTTCAGCAGCCAGCTGGGACAGAATTTCTCAGACCAGATGCACAGTTCTTCCCCTTCTACCCCCAGCTGAAGGAAATGATGCTCGTCACTAGTTGCTAGCAACACAAAACTGTAAGAGCTAGTTAATAGTCCGTCTTCAGTCTCATGGAAAGCAGAACCATGTACACACACTAGTTAGGAGGCAACAGGTAACAGAAATATCCACAGGAAAAGTTGGTTAATTGTACATTTTCTTCCTGTATCTCAGATTTTCCATCATCGCATAGCATAAGCTATTCATCATTACACTAAAAGAGAAACAGCTGCTGATAATTTTAAGCACATGAACACTGAGATACTTTACAATCTTACTATGTAAAAGGCAATTGTAACACTTATTCAGCTTTTTTTTTTTAAAAAAAAGAAAGCCAAATGGAAAAGTTTACATCAGATCTTCCAACTGGTCAATGGGAAGGTTAACTACCTGAGCAGCCACAGATCAGCCCGAACATTCTTCTTGGGAAACCTGCCCAAGGACTGACAAGGGCTAACTCATGCTGGCTGTAGCTATCTGATTAGGGGGTTGTCTACTTCATGCTAGATGAGACCAGCAGCTCCTTCAAAGCAAGCACACAGGCAGCTATTTGCTCACCTAAGCCCTATTGAGTGTAAAGAATCATAGAACGGTTCCAATTGGAAGGGACCTTAAAGATCATGGAGTTCCAACCCCCCTGCCATGGGCAGGGACACCTCCCACCAGACCAGGTTGCTCACAGAAGAAAGAAAGCTTCGATGAAGAAGAAAAAAATTAACACAAAATCAGGACACCTTTTTCTCCCCTCCCCCTCTTAGACAATAATGGCTCAAATCCTGCCTCCTTTGCTTTCTGGTAGTTCTTTATCAATCTGCTAAGAATTGTGAAGCAAAAAATACCTCCTATGCATTTTAACTTTTGGGGGAAACTTCATCCATATTAGATATGCAGTCTGGACATGACAATTCAATGTACCTAAAGCTGAAAGCAAAGCAAAAAGGATGCAAGGACTCCAATTAGCATACATCATGTATACCTGCCTTCCATGGTTCTTAAAGAAGGTTTGGTGTCAGCAATAGTTCTTGAAATCTAAACAGCCAATGAAGTTTTCATATCTATCTGACCTGACTGTCAGAATAAAGTTTCCATTCCTTCATATCCCCAGACCTCCAAGCACCTAGCAAACAATTCCCATAGCTCACTTAAAGTCCTGGATTTGATTCTCAAAGCTATTTAAGGAATCAGGTTCCCATTTCCAATCCAAGAAGATAAATTTTTTATAAAAGAATTAGAGGCTTAGACATTTACACACCAATTAAGCATGTGAGAGCCCAAGGATCATTAGCTTTCCACTAACTCACTGTCAGAAGAAAGAAGTAAGACTCTGAATCAAATATATATGGACACTCAACTCTCCTGGGTTCCCTCCTGGAACTGATCCCAAGTATTTCTGAAAATAATACCCCTTCCCTTCTATCCACCAGCCGTTGGGGCAGGTATGCTCCCCAGGACAGAAAAGATCACAGAGCACAAAATAAATTACACACATGACACAGGAAAGGCAAACTTAGATGAAAACCCAAAATATTTTCAAAGCAACTTCCAGTGGAGCAGTCTCTGAGTGGAAATGAAAGCCAGCATTAGATGACAAGGAAGGTGATTGAGAGTAACTACTGTGAAATGAATAAGGGTTACACAGACTGAAGGGCAAAGAAAAACCCTTTTCTTTATAAGAAAAATAATGAAGTACTTGTAATTTCCCTTCATTTGAAACTACAGTGTCTAACAAAATGATAATATTTTTCTGCAATATCAGTTCTGTAAAAAACTAAACCTTAAACCGTAAGCTGAGAACTGCAATGACTTATGTTTAAAGTGAAGTATGTACACAATGTTTCTGATGAACCAGAGAACAAAATATATTCAGCTGACAGTTCACTTATAAAAGTAAATGTGAAGCTATTTTTTTTGGTCCTGGAGTTATTGAAATCTACCAGCATGACACAGAAAGTAAGCTGAGAAGAAGTCTTATTTAGAAAAATAGTGACATATTTATTTAATATTTTTCATAGCTGCTGAAATACTGATCTAGGGCATACATACCCATTTAATTTCATATAAAGATATGGCACGTGTCCATCAAAATTCTACTACACTGTAAAAGCCAAAAAGCAATTCAGCCTTCAAAATACTGTACAATGAGCACCACATTTTGGCAAAGACTTCTGTATGTTCCATTACAGAGGATAGATATTTAATCCATTACTCTCGTGGAAAGAGTCTTCTCAATTCATGAAATATTCAATTTATCTTTTTTCTATTACTCCTAGCCTGCCTCTGCATCTGGTTTATATCTGCCAATGTGTATTTTAGGTTTTACTATTGTATTATTATAAATATATTGCATATAAAGCCAAAATTAAGAGCAATTGTGTTTCTGAGAAGTATATTGTGTGTACATCTGGAAACCAATCAGAGAAAGGTTTAGTGGTTTTGGTTCACATAGATTACAATGAACTAAAGACTACTGTCAAACATTTAAACTTGCATAAATTCAACCTGAGTAGTATATACAAAACATGAACCCCAAAACGTTTTAAGTGACAGGTAGGACTGACCACAACCCATTATTCGGCTTGTGCAGTATGATAAAGCTGCCCTTAAAATTCGCTAAAACTATATGCAGTTGCAGTTCTTTGGGCAAAAACATTCCGCATCAAGTGGCTCTGAGATATCAAGTTTTTAAACTTGATTTTGTTTTATGAAAATTGAAGTCAAAATGATTGAACTGTTCTTGGACTGAGAGCGTGCAAAAACCACGTACATTGTTTTTCCTGTGTTTACTTGTCTTGAAATCACAGAATCATAGAATGGTTAGAGATCTTTCCTTTCTGAGCTATAAAGCTTTACCTCCTCTTCCACCCTGACTCGAAAGATGGATAAGAATTCAGGAGAAAAACAAATTTCCATCAAACCTCTTATCACATCTGAAAATTTGCTCAAGATATAAACCTTGGGAAAACAAAATTTACACAGATACTGATTAGGGAATGCTTAGCCTTGCCCCATCCTGCCCAAAAAGCTTTAGCCGCAACGTGTGGCGTGCTACAGCCAAGGGTGCAACGCCTGTATCTGCAGACTGCACCAGGCTGGACCTGCTCTGGGTCTGGACACCTGGACCACAAGCAAAGATCTCTTCTCCTGGATCCTACAGGAATCCTTTTCTAACAAGTACAAGGAAGAGATATAACCTGCGTGGCCCAAATGAAAAGGGGTCAAAAGCTGGGTTTTCAGAAGAATAGTGACAACACAGGTAGCATAAGCAGCAGGGGAAGAGTAGATACAGCGTTTAAAATCTAGAAATGGTAGGTTTAGTTGGAAGCTGTTCAAACAGGCTGACCACCTGTGGGAAGAAACCTCGAACAGAGATGAAACGCTACCTGATAGAACTGAAATTTATCTTCTTTGTACACATAAATTTTGACATGGTTTGGTCTCTGATTATACATGTCCTGCTATTCTTTCCAAAGGATTCAACTTTATAGAGTGCACTTTCCCAAGTGCAGTACAGTTATTAATAAACTCTCTCCCCTTGTACAAAGTAACCAGTATTTACTTTGATAAAGAAATCTCACTAAGGAAACTCACTACTAATTTCCTTTTCAACGTTTCCTGCACCCCAAGACAACAGCATCTGACTTCTTCACCAGTAAGCCCCCTCGGTCAAGGATCAAACTCAAAAGTATTCATCAATTTTTGATGCTCAACTTGAGAAAACATAAAATATTTTCTCCTGGTTCAAAGTTCTTGATGGTGTTTCACTCTTTTCATAGATTTCAGCTGTTTAGCTCCTGGCTATCAAGCCAGACTGAATAATGTACAACTCCTCTTGTACTGTAAGAATCACTTTGTACAGACACAGCATCACACATAAGCTTTGCAAAAACCCACAGGAATAGAATTCAACTCTCCAAAAATGCACTTTTCTGCCTTAACCATGAAATCAACATCCTATTCTTCCCATAGTTCTCATCCTCATTTGTAACACACTCCACAACAAAGGAGATAGGAATTTCTGCACTTCACAACCATCATATGCACCCAAGTCCACCCTGTGCATGGTATGAAGAAGAAAACCTGCAGAAGAAAAAGAATGCAGCAGCATAGCTCCAGATGGTCAAAATACATATCCTCAACGCTGTGAGGAGTTTTTTTTTCTGGGCACTTCTTCTATTGTATAATATAGAACAATGCTTTAAAGAAGAACTAGAAACATATGTTCAGCACAAGTGACACTATCAAATGAATGAGAAGTTATGCATAGGAAGTTTGCTAAAAAAAAAAAAAAAAAGGCCAAAGAAAAGTGAATTATTAACAGACATTTTGCTGAGCACTACTTTCACTTTGGGTACACAGTGGAAAAATTTTAAAGTTCTTTCTGTGCTGTTCATAATTTCAGCCCAAATACTGTATTTCCACAGAGCAACTACAGATGAAACAGACTGCAGAAAAGCAACTGCTTTCCTTCTTCAAGCTGATTATCATTAAGTGGTTGAAGACAAGTTAAATATTTTGCAATATTAATACATTAAAGTACCTTCACACAAAAGCAGCATCAGGATTAACATAATCTATTTCAAATGTAGTTTTAATTCTCACACTGAATTATTCTAAAGTTTTTACATATGCATTATAGCTCATCCCCCATCCCCCTCAATTTCGCTAAGACAAAGTTATGCAACTGAAAAGGAAAATCAAAACTTCAACAGCTAGAATATTATATGCAGTTCTTCATGTCTCCTGCGTAATTGGGAGTAGTTGATTTGCTTTGAATTTTAATGATGACTGTACTTAGAAATTTTGGTAACCTTATCTTAATTTCAATCTTGAATCCAGGCAAGCTAAATATTATGTTTTCATTTCCTTATTAAACTGGAATCCATTAACACTGTGAAGGCATTCCTGGCTTGTGGATTTACTGCTGACAAGGCACGATACTGGCTCCTTTGCTCATTCTAAAAATGCAGTAAGATTGTGCAGATGTCCACATAAAGGGAACAAACTGGGAAAAACACAGGTAGTCTGTGTGACACAGGCAGGCATTGCCAGCAGGGTGGCATGAAAGCATGGCTCCAAGACACATCACAGATGCTATGAGGATACATTTAGATGATAAAAAAGCATAAAAGCAAAGCATTATCATATTTATTGTATTTAGGGTATGCTGTCAATCCGCAAAACACAAACAATTTAGCAATTAGGCTTCAGAATTCAATCAATGTAGCAATGTTAGAGTACAGTAGTGCCAAGCACAGTCAGCCTATGTCTGGCATACAGTGGGATTACAAGGGTTAACTGGTAGCTTCTGGCTGCACCAAAAACTGCCATACACAAACACGTGTGAGCTTCCAGCTGCTGCTTACTGACTCACAGGCTGGCTGTAGGGGCTAGAATTTGACATAAAGGAGGAAAATACAGAATTCTTTCAAAAGCTGGGAAGTAGGGAATGAAGAAACAGCAACTAACAAAGGTAAGGAAGAAAAAGTCTTAACGATGTGAAGAGACAACCCCGTCCCAAGCACTATCAGCAACCTATGAATTAAGAATAGCTTGTTTCCATTCTGATTTAGTGGTATAAGCATGCAAGTGGTAAGTATCATTGTAACATGTTTCCATTCTGATTTAGTGGTATAAGCACGCAAGTGGTATCATTGTAATATCTGAGCTCACTTTACGAGTACAGTAGCAAACATTACCAGCTCCCTCAAACAGGAGCCCGCACTTGACTCCCTCCAGCACCAAATTTATTTGCCTCAAGAATTGCAGAAAACTATCCAAGTAGGTTATGGAGACTAGAGACTTCCTGAACCAGATGTTACCAGAGAGCAGAGAAATGAGTTCTACATCTTGTTCTCATTGCAAGGAAGTTTTGGCCCAGAAGATAATTTTTCTTCGATATCTGACTGTGCTGTTCAAAGCAAAATCCTTGGCATGCACCTGCCTTTCTAATGCTTCAGGAGGCAAAACAAACACATCAGAGGTTATCCACAGGTCTACAGCACTGAACGTACCAAATCCTCTGCTGTTACCGGTTCTCCTTTCTTGTCATTAGCCACCACCATTTTTCCCAGCCTCTCCTTCATATCTTGCAGGCTGGTGGTAAGGGCCAGGATGGCCATAATTTCACTTGCAACAGCGATATCAAACTGAGCCTGTAAAACAGAAATGAGAATCATGAACGAAATCAAAGTCAGGACCAATACTCTCAGGGAATCGCCAGGAATAGACTCAGGAAAGAGAGATTTCACACTGGAATTCAAACAAGTTCTAAATAGTAACCCACAGCTTTTGAGATTACTCAGACTAGAGTAACTTCAAACACTTTGTTTATAGTCCCTCATTAATGTTTTCGGTTACACTTCATTTACTTGGGGATCAGTCTTGCAGAGTGCTTAGCCCCTTGGCTCACATTATCCCTAGCAGAAGCTCCCTGAAGGACCAAGAATTTTTTTCTGTGGCAAAAAAGAAAATTACCAGATGTGTTTTGAGCTTTACTGGCATGAGCACAGCATTGTGGTGGGTTTTTTTTTCTGTAACACTCTCCAAAAGTTTTTTATTCTGGTTTCAAAAACATTCTTGTTACATTTGATCATTCTTCTTCTACATAAACTCAAAATTTAGAGTCTATACTGGTAGGTCTTGTCCTTGACCTGCAATAATGTAAAATATATCTTTGTCCCCATTTTTTGCTTTAAATGAACAAATATATAAGTTTAATAAAAAAACAAACCAAGAACAATATTCGGCATCAGTTCTATTGCTCTTGCAGAAAAACATCCATACTATGCAGTATTTCAGCAGAAGATAAGCTGCGGTCCTCACTTTTCTTTAAAAGCTTGCATTACATTAGCTTGCATACATTACCAGTATTTGTATTAATTCATTGTTAGTAAAGCCCATGCCAAGTGTTGTCAGAACGCAAACAGAAGAAAGGCAAAGTCACCAATGTATTATGTGATAGGAATGCAATGCTGGGGGTGAAGAAGAACTACACCTTCTTTAGTGATCTCTCCCTTTCCAAAAATTAAACTTTATATAAAAATTTAGTAATTGACATCCTACTGCTACCTGTGTAAAAAAAAGCCCTCAGGACTGTCTCTGCATCAGACCTCTACCAGGTGTATCCCACACTGACTAATGCCAGAGGAATCTGTTCTAATTGATGGCATTGCCTGTTTTTAAGAAGCATCTATATAGAGAATTGTTCAACATATACTTTACCATTCTTATCCATTTGCCTAGTACTTTAACAGCTTCTGTCTCTTTTTAACCCATGTTCCTGGCTTTAAGTTCTGTCTTGACAGCTATAGCCCAGAGCAGCCCTGTTCAAGGCTGACCTCTATGCTCCTCCATGCTAGTCAAGACTTCTGAAGACACTCGAGCACTTTTCTGCATTGGACGCAGACAGGGAGGTGTAATTGAGATTTTCAGCGTAGGGATTCAAATGAAACGCTGAAGTTACAAGGCAGATTTTCCATATTCCTTGGGAGCAGTTCTGTACCCACCAGAAAAGCTGGGTAAACAATGAACACTGTTGGCGTTACGATGACATGGATGCTACTATCTTCTCTGAAGTTAAGAATGCGCCTGATAAGTCATTGCAGCACACTTAAGACAGGAAATAAGCCTGAGAAATCTATGCCCAACCCATATATTGGAATATTATCAAACTTTATCAGGACATTTACCAGGAGACCAAAACCAAAAGTTTATTTTTATAATTGTTTCTATATAAACACAAAAATACAGGAAAAAATCCCAGGTAGATGCTCAAAGAGTGACATAATATTTAATTGAAAAAACAGGCACAAAAGACTGTGGTAGCAGGTGCTATTTTAACTCCAATAACCTTTATACACCTATGAAGTGCTGACAGAAGCCTTAGCTGTAAAGTAAGTTCTCTATTGATGAAAGGATCCACCCACATGGATTCAATTGCAGGATCAAGGGCATCAGTCATGTAATACTCTTTAGAAACCACAGCATCCCTGTTCATTAAAATGCAGAGTTTTGTGCCTGCTGTGCTCTGCCATTTTACACAGGTGTCATTGATTTTAAGACTGCTAGAACATCACTCCAAATATTTATAAAAAGCATCTGTTAACTATGAAGTCCTGTTTTCTCTGGATCTCTGGCCAGGCTCTGAAATGAGTTTTCCTAACTGTTCCCTATTTCTCGAGTCACTAAGTCCATGTTAAAATGTGAATGAATATGCATCAGTCCAACACATCAAAATTGAATGCATCAAGGTCATTTTATCCGAAACAGCACAGAAGCAACATTTGACTGCCATATGTCAACTAGTACTCCACAGTAAAACGGCCCATATTTAACTCAGCAGTATAATTACAGGGGTAAAATGCTGCACAATGAGGCTGGAAGAACTTGGCTCAAAGATAATAATCACATTGAGTCACTGAAACAAACCTAAATATAGGAAAACATCTCAAGTGTTGAGGGAACTTGTACCAAGTATAATATTTTGTAGTTCCAGCCCATTATCAAAGATGAGTATTAGCTAATACTGAGTTTTCTGTAATTAAAGACAGAAAAGTCTCTACCCAATGTGTTCAAAACCAAACCAAGCAAGCTCTAGTGGAAGGTGCCCCTGCCCATGGCAGGAGCGGTTGGAGCCAGATGATCTTTAAGGTCCCTTCCAACCCACACCATCCTATGATTCTACAATTTCTCTCTCAAGTTCTTTTCCATTTGACTGGTTTTGGTCTCTTTATTTAGCCACAAAGCCTAGAAGAGGTCCAAATTGATAAAGAAAAATTAAAGCCAGGGTTTCCAAAATAAATGAAACCCTTATCTCTACCCCAGTAGCTATTTACTTCACCTCAAAATAGTCAGAACCTCATGAATTTTATGATCAAGAGTGTTAGATTACAATATCTTCATCAAATCAGGAGCAATGATTGATCATCACCACAATGAGTTTGTTCCACATGGCATTGCTGTTTCACAGTGCGTTGTTTCAGAAATGGATTTACCCTCATGACACAAGGAACACTGGAAAAGTCCAGCTTTCAATTTATCGGTAAGTTCTTTAGTAAACTTCCAGAAGTTATCATTCAGTAATGTAGGTTAGCTTTTTACACTGCTGAAAAGTACATACATGGTCATTTTCTGAACTATCCCTGCAAGCCCACATATAAAAATTAAGCACATGCTCAAAGTTCTTACAATTTAGATCCCAAAGCTGAGATGATGCATGACAGGGAAACGAAAACTCTGAATAAAAAGCTAACGGTCGTTTTCAGTCCTCACCACTGGGACCAACAATACATGACCCATGCTTCCCTTAATTTTTTAACATTATCTTTAAATCACCTTTAAATAACATAAATACTACATGAACATTTTAATGGACTTAAAAAAAAAAGTAAGAAAAATTGTACAAATTACCCTTATAAGGGCATTGGGGGATCTTTTATACTCATAGGATGACAATGTTGAATCCCAAATATACGCAATTTTTTGAAGTGCTTTCAACACATTGTGCAATATGCACTGGCTTCTGTTTCTGAAACTTCAGACTCAGCTACTCATTATCACAATGAGTTTCACTGCAAGAATATACACTATACAACAGCAACAGATGTTAGCATTGCAATTCAAAGACATATGCTGAAAGAACTGCAGAAGCTTCTCTCAGCCGCTAAAGCAAAGTCTGGAATGAGATATATTAACTGCCTTTACCTACCTGACGGACAAATCCCTTCTCTGTATTTGCCTGCCCAACTGTTATTTTGCGCAGGAATCTGTCATTTGTATCCACCACTGAAATAAGGGAATAGCAAAAGGAAAACATGTTAACAAGGACTCATGGATCTGGATTTTTTCCAGGTGTTATCTGTTGTTATACATGTAAGATTCAGCCACTTGAACAGCGTAACCAGACAACCACGCTCCTGCATGTCGGCATTAGCACTGACTTGGTTTCTCCCTTCCAGTTGATACCGTTAGAAAACAGGCTGAAATAACTCAAATACAATTTCTCTGAGCAGTATTTGAACCGAACAGACTCTTAATATTCTAATATACAAATCAGTATTTTACCCACATAAGAAAAATCTGTCTTAGTAGGTACAATGCACCTCAGACCTACCTCAAATCATTTGCTTTGCGATTGCCTTGTTAAGAACTGATTTTAAGACTTATGATGTAGGTTAAACTTGGTCTGTTTCTCTTTTAAAGGATGATTATGTTGTCAGATTGGTTCTTCCAGACAAGTCACTTTCTTGGACATCACCGTAACTAACTCCACATTCAGCTGTGCAGCATTCAAAGGAAGTTTTTTTTCAACTGCCAAGACCAACCATCTGCTATTTAACACAACTTCAATTTCAGGCAATTGCATTTCTAACATGGAAACACTTTTGGTATTGCAAGGGCATGTCCAAACCATCCTGTGGAATTGCTAACTTCACTAACAATCATCGCGAGCCAAGTTCTCCAATTCTGCACTGACAACACTCAACTTCAAATGTGCTTTTGTAGGAACCAAAAGGCAATACTGAGAATAACTGAAGAGCTCTCTCATCTGCTGAGAAGCGAAGAAGATGTTTCTTAGGAAGAAACATTAGGATGATGTTTCTGTTTGTTAGAAAACAAGGCCAAACTCCAAAACCTCTCCTTCCCCGGAATGGCAATCCCTGCAGAATGCAAAAATAGGTTCCCTCTTCCCTACAGGCTCTTTAGCCTTACAAATGTTTCAATTTGCACCAACCCTGAGAGAAAGGGTGGAAGGTACTCTTGATCAATTCAGATTGTAGCTTGGCAAGCAAGTCAATCTTCTGGCAGATGTAGATCTGAGTCCTGTTCATTTAGAGGCAGAGAACCAAGGAACTTCCAGAGAAGTTGTTCATACTGGAGGTCAGTGAAATTACCTCCTCCCACTTCTGCTGCTTTTGGAGACTAACAAACTTGTCTGTACAGAAAAGGACAACATAATTACCCAAGAACCAGAGGGGCTTTGAATCTCAGTACTACACAGCCCCAGTTCAGGGTTGTAAGTGAGCTGGGAGAAAAGCAAGATTTAAGCCACTTCCCTTTCTTGGGCATTTCTCATGGGGCTACTGCAAATACCGTACGTGCCTTCTTCCCACCACATAGCATTTAGGCCCCTAATTTCCTCAGGAATTCCATTTAAGTGATGGTGCAACACAGATTTGGTTAACTCATTTTGTTTTCTGTTTATATCCAGTCATACTCTAAAATACCACAGTACTGGCAGAAATTGCAGAACAGAGCCTGGTATGTGGAAGCAGTAGCCTCATACCAAGCTGTGGTACCATATGCCACTGCGAAGCCATATGCCAAGCTGGTCTCTCAAGCACAAACTTACCCCTTCTCCTCTCAACCTCACGAGCAGCCTTAAACAGACCTAAGTGTCTTTCCTGCCAACCCAGGCACTGCTGGGAGCAGGGTCTAGCCTTCCTACCAGCCTGGACAGTCAGTGGGCTGCTTTTTATCTAGCCCTTCCTAGTGAAATCATGTCACCTGAACACCTTTACCATGAAATTATAACTATTCATGACACTCCTGGTCACTGTGACACACCGGCTTTCTCACCATTTATTTCCCAGGAAGATTCCAATAGCTGCACTTTGAAGTAGTAATATAAGAAAGAATTGGTTTTGCCACAAAACCAATTTTTGCTTCTCCAAATTTTCCCTCTTCCTTACCAAAAGTAAAGGTTTCAGGAAAGTTTAGGTTCAAGCAAGTGTTAGGCTTAATGTATCTACTTCCTTATCCTCTAGAAATATAAACAGGATCTGAATACCAGGGGAAGGGTTAGTAGGGGGAAGCTTTCCTTCTTTTCAGTATGTTGTACCTGTTCCAGCTAGTGTAAGATGACAGTGAACTTTAAGCTTGTGACACTTAAGGAAACAGTTTGTGACTAATATTAATTTTCAGACAATCTGATGCTTTCTCTTCTGTCCTACTAATTCCCTGGAACATAACAATCTTTACAGACACATGGACTGCAGGAAGAGTCCCAAATGAAACATTTTCCAAGTTATCTGAAACAGTTCTAAAAACATATTTTTTTTCTCAATCTGAAATGTTTAAGATAGATGGAGTAAAAATTTCACTAACATTGTTTGAGACGAATTAAATACCTCACTTGAGGTTACAGCACTTGAGCAGTGTTGCCTCCTCCCAAACCTGTGCTGATAAAAACCGATGAGTCATATTACACCAAATATTTATATTATTCCTTCATCCTAATACAGGTCTCTTCCATCCAAACACACTGTGTGACTAATAAAAAACACCTTATGCCACATCCCTCAGTATTACCTTGGGAAAAACGTCCCAAGTCTGAGATGACATGCACACAACGCATGGCCAAGGCTCCTCACTTCTCAATAGATCCACCTTATTTCTCTGAGCATCACAATTCATTCCATTTAACTATTTGAACTAGCAACTTTGGTGTTTGAGAACTAAGTAAGAAAATAAAATCCAGCAAAATTTAGCTCAAAACTTCATGCAGAATTCACTTTCTTAAAAAAAGAGATACAGAAGTTGAGGTAAACACTGAAATTCAACCCGGGACTAGGACTGGAAAATGCAGAGGGGAGTTGTCAAAGGGTGTGAGAGTGGATATTGGTTTGCTTGGCACACGTAGTTGAAACCATACCACATCTTTCACTTCTTCCTAACAAAGCAAACAGCTCAAGACACTTAAAAAAACCACCATAATCCCTGAGGCATATTTAGTCTCCGAGCTGGAGAGGATGAGGGACAAAAATCAAGTAGAGTAAGTACAAATAATCTAAAACCATAATAGACACAGCTAAGAAAAGAATGGATAAGATTTGTAAGATGTACAAAAAAGCCACTTTCGTATGTTTTAAGATGTATTATCTAATGTGAGAGAGACAAGGGTTGTACTTCAACTGCCAGAGCAACCCATCCTACAAATATTAGCAAAGTCTCTTGACTTACTGCAGACATTTAACCAAGTTTAGAGCAACACACTGCACCCGAATTTGTTACGCACCTCTATTTCCCACTTGCAAATAGGTTGCTCTTGCAGTTAGAGAGCAGAAATAGCTCTGATTCAGGTAAAATTAAGCAAATTAGGAAATAAGTTATGATTAAATCCAAGCTGAGGTGAGGCTTTCTGACTACATACCTCTTTGCCATGTTATGGTAGATGGGTCAATATCAAGGCGTGCAAATTTGTTGATCTCCTCTTCTGTTAAAGTCCCAGGATCAGTCTTGTTTATTCCCAGTCTCTGCACAAAAACAAGTTAAAAAAATGCAATTAAGTGGCTTTGTGATTCTGATGGAAAATTCCGTGAAAGCTACTCTGCCACAGAGCTAAGGAGGCACTGGCCACGTTTTAGCTTACTGGCCTTCAAGTGAGCAGCACATTATGAGAAACTATTTTTCCAAACCAGAAGCTGGCATTACCTCTATTCTCCTTTCCACCACCCCTAATTCCAACTGCGCACTCAACAGCTCTCCATGGCCATCCAGTGACTCTGAAACACCACCGGTCAGGATGGAAAAGCCAATGAACATGGAACTGGATGCAGAAGGCTGAAGCTGTCCATAAGGGTCATATTCAAGGGGTTCATACTCTCCTTCCCCTCTGCCCGTGGACTGTGCTGCTCTCTCATTATTGATCAGAATGGCAGCCTCGTTCATACATTAATTGCATAGGAAGCTCTCCTGGAAGCATTCGGGAAGGATGCACAAATATACTCTGCACACAAATGTGCTTCTGCCCCTCAAAGGAAGAGCGCTGCCAAATCGACATCAATAAAACCCCAGAACTATATGCTATAATAAACTTTCAAAACCAGAAAATATTGCAAAACCAAAGAATGCGAGCTTTCAAACGTGACTTTACCATAATAGGAAAAGTATTTTAAAAACTCTAACTTTAATATTACATTATGAAAGACACAGCATTTAAAAACATTATTGGTTTATTTCAGGAGAAGAGAATAGCAAAAATGTTAGTTATGAAAATAATATCAGACCCAGATCCTATTACTTCAAGGATGATGCTTTCAGAAAAAAGTCTGGACTTGATAAATTCATGAGGGAGGTTTATACAAACTCAGTCCCACACATTAAAGAATTTTAAACAAGGTATGCAAGATAGCACATTTTATGAAGAGATACTATAATTGAGGTGAGAATTATAGTATCAAAAGTAACAACTTACTCTCAGACGGGCAAGCTGAATAGCAGAAAATTCTCTCACACCATTAACTACTGGAACCAGTCTATTATACAAAGCCTATAAAAAACACGAGAGGTTAATGAAAGAAAAAATTACAAGCAGGAACCAGTTAAATAACAAGATAATGTCTTTATTTTACTCAGATGAATTTCAGTAAGAATTTCCCAACAACAAAAGTTGTGGACCTCTGGTTAGTGATTTAAAAAACAATTCTGAGAAGGTGGTAGGCTTTTGAGCAATGCCTATGATGTAACAGTTTAAATCCAATTACCAAAATGACTGTGTTACCAAGTTTCACCAAAAAATACGTATTTGTGAAACTGGGAACCCTTTAAAACTTTAACCAAGGTCCAAATTATTCAAGCTGCAATTACCATATGCAGACTGGCCTCAATGCACATTTGTGTTGTACCAAGTAAAGGGGATATGACAACCCTGCTCAGTTTTAATATAATAGCCAAAAAAAAGGAGACTTCTTCCTTTACTACTTCCCTTCCCTTTAAAGCCTCAAGTGAGCATTTGTGTTAAGGTCGCAACAGATCTAGTGCAGAGAAGAGGATCTAGTTTATTTCCCCCCAACCCCTTCTTCTTAAGGTACATCACACCCAACTATACATCAGAAGTTAAATTTTTAACTTTAAATATGTAACATAGAAATTATTTTAAAGAACGAGATTATATATAGAGAAAAAAAAATCTTTTGTTAAACTATTTAGTACAGTCTGAAATAGTTGACAATGTACTGGGCATAAGATCCTTATCTTAAAGACTACCTTATGACAGCTATTTGCCAGAAAAATATATTCTATATGGAATATTTCCCAGCAGAACACAGAATGGCTTCAACAATACTTTTTGTTCACACAGTGAGAATATAAAAAGATAATCAACTTGTTTTGCTTTGAAATGCAGTTTATTGAAAAACTGAAAAGAAAAAATGTCATGTGGATATCGGAAAATAACTCTCACCTTATCAGATTGAGTGTTCTCATGCAAGATCCGTGCATCAATAGCAGCAGCCAGCAAATTATTTGCTGCAGTTATGGCATGAATGTCTCCAGTCAAATGAAGATTGAACTAGAAGGTGAAAACAACAAAATCTTCTTATAAGAAGCCATTTAACTCATTTTATTAATATCTCAGACAGATTAGCAGCAACAATCGTTGCTATGTGCTTGAGGTTGAAGCTCTGATTAGTCACCTATCAGCGCAGATGAAATATCAGGCTGAAAATACATTGAGGTGTATGAAGGACTTGTTTCCAACTCAGTACGTGGCAAACTACCCTTAGTTTAGCCAAACAAAGCCATGAACATCTTCATTCTTTGCTAAACGATCCAAGAATGAAAATCCCTGGGCTACAGTTCCACATCATTAATACTAAATCACTTTACTGTCAGCAGTTACTAATTGACCTGGACCAGAGATGTGGATTTCTGTTGAACCCCCTGGAGCAGACCGTGCATGCTGGCTTTGAGGGTGTTTGCCAGCTTTCTGCTAGCCATGGGAGACCAGCCCATTGCTGACCAGGCATGAACTTTGCTGATACAAAGTTTGTCCAAAGTTTTGTTTTAAAAACCTGAAATCAGAAGTTTAGATTAGATTAATACCTGTATTATGTAGGTACTGTATTTTTTAGCTATCTATCTCTGACAGAAGGAGACAGAAGGTCAGTTTTGATGGCACCACAGCAGTGACAGCAACCAACACAAGACCCTGTGCTCACACTCACGTGCAACAGGGGATCAAAACTGTAACAACGGTGCTACATCAGGACTCTGCATGGACCAGCTGTGCTCTTTCAAGGTGGTACTTCATCAGTTTGGGCCACGGAGTAGTTTCATTGAGCTCTAACAACATCAAGCTCCAACAGGGTAGGTTTAGATTGAACATTAGGAAAGAATTTTTCACCGAAAGAGTGATAGGGCGTTGGAACAGGCTGCCCAGGGAGGTGGTGGAGTCACCATCCCTGGATGTGTTTAAGGGCCGTTTAGATGCAGTGCTAAGGGACATGGTGTAGGGGATGACTTTGTAGAGTAGGGTAGATGGTTGGACTCGATGATCCCAAGGGTCTCTTCCAACCTAGACGATTCTATGATTCTATGATTCTAAATTAGACTCCTTTGGGGCGAAACCATCATGCATGTCCAAACAAGCACCCTGAATATACAACTCCAATTCTCCAGGCAGACCATCACCACCACCAAGTGCTGCAGCGGTCACCTGGAACTGCCCACCCTTCCCCGAGGGACAGGGACTTGCTGCCTCCCCCGCTGTCTCACCTCCTCCATGGGAATCACTTGAGCGTATCCACCACCGGCTGCTCCACCTGCACAGGAAAGCATATGGTCACATCAGGCTCACACTGGTTTTGGGAAAAACCAACCACCCTTAGACACACAAAGTGAAACATACACCGTTGATGACACAGTTCTCAGCGTTTTAATTTCTATTAGGGGATCAATGGTGCACCCCAATAAACAGGATTTCCTTAAACCTTGCTGGCTTTTTTCAGCAGGCAGTGAAAAGGGAATTCTTGATCTGAAATGAAAGCCTACACATGGTGGCTGGCCCACACTTTGGCTCTATGAGAGCCACCCTCTGCTCCTGCCCAGATTTAAGACACAGTCATGCACATGCAGCTGTTGGGTGGAAAGACACAGCAGTCACGAGCAAGCACTGCTTCTGAACAAAACCTTCACACTCCTGCCTGAGGGCTCCTTTCCCACTGCCTCTTAGGGTACAGGCAAAGGAGTTTGCTACAGCCTCCCCACAAACTGAGCAGAGGGATTAAAGCACTCACATGCACCAGTCTTGGCTGAGAAGCACCAAGCACCAGGAGCCTTCCAGCTGAAATCAAACTTGTTTTAACTTAAACTTCAGCAAAGCAAAGTAGAGCAGATGGGGAGTGCTTGCCCAGTTAGGCACCAATCTCAGCTGAGAAATGGCAAAAAAAAAAAAAAAAAAAGATTGCATTACTTCCTATCAGCATTGAAGACAGGCTTGAACTCTGGCTGGCTCTTACCTGGCCCTCAGGCTCTTAAAGGGTTTCTAGGCAAAAAGGCAGCAGCCCACAACTAGGGCCAACAACTCAGAAGAACAGAAAGAGGAGGTTCAGACCTAGCCAAACGTATGAAGCAGGCAGAGCTGAACCAAAGGCATAACTGCCAACTGCCTTAGTTTGGGTATTTCTGATCAGTATGAGTGGATTTAGGACTCCTTCTCAAGGAAGAATCAAACAGTAACATTTAGAGACATCTTTAGAGAGTCTCCAAGGAGAGGAGTGGCTGGAAGGGTGTGCACTCTCACAAAACTCCTGCTGGCTCACCATGCCTTTCGTAATGTTTGGGCTTTATCTGCCTTATCAACACACATTAAGTACATGAACCTTGCATGGGAAGATGTGTGCAAGAAACCTTTATCTATTAACCTTTACCAATTAAAAATCCAATACACTACCATAGAGACAATCCACTGAGCTAGTGAAATAAATAAGGAATTAAAGACAAAAGGGGGAAAAATAATAAAATAAGTATTTCCTTTTAATCAGAAAGGGCTCATAAGAGTCTGCAAATATTACGTACCTTTAACTCCAAAAGTAGGTCCTTGGGAAGGTTGTCTCAGACAAGCAAAGGAATTAATGTTAAGGTGTGCAGTAAGCGCCTGAACGAGACCAATTGTGACTGTGCTTTTCCCCTCTCCTAGGGGTGTAGGGGTTATTCTAGCAAAACAAGAAAAAAGATTAATCAAATTCTTTGCTGATGTCAGCCTCACGAAGGGTATCAGAACTTACAGCTTTTGATTTCAATGAAGAATATTTATACAGCAAATTTCCATAAGATTACTTTATCTCCACAAAAATACTGCCACAATGTTAGCCGCTAGCTCAAGCTGGAATGCTAATATACATGTGTCTTCTATTTAAGCAATTTACTATGATAGCAGAAAAAGAGAAGATTATTTTGGCAAAAGTTCTAAAAAGAATATATTGAATTTAGACATTTATATTACAGCACAAAAATCTCACCAGTTTCATTAACAAACCATCCATCAAGATACTTTGAGCATGTATTAATTCTTTTCTGTAGTAATGCATGAGATGTTTTATTCCCACTGCTCAAACTTTGAATGAAATAATATAATATTTAAAATTAAATAACCAACACTTTTGTTTGTAGAGCTCAACTATCCTCCAGCTTCCATGTCATCATAACTCTCAACAATGACAGATCAGCTGCTTTTTAAATAAAACGGGACACAAAAGTCAATATATTCAACTGAATATGATTTATTTTACACTTACATTTCATGATATTTTTGCAGATTTAAGGGTGATGAGGGACAATTACAATCACAGTCCAACTTCCCATACAAAAGCTTAAACCCCCACATCCAGACAGTGATTGAGCCAAGACTCTAACGTCCAGACATCCCTTTAATGAAGGGACAATGTCACCTGATTTTGCAAGTCAAAAACTTCATCAGCCTTCTGTGAATGAGAGACACCTCAGTTAAAGTGATGTCCTCCCTGCTTTCAAAGTCAGCACATCTGTTTATGATCCATGTAAAAAGCAGGGGGGGAATCTTGATTTTTTTTTCCTTTTTCTTTCTTAAAGTATGAACACATCTCACATCTCCAAAATGCATTCAAATGATTCATTTGAGGCACAGCATTTCTCCTTCTGGCCCAGTCCTTTTTCCACTCACACCAGTATCACAAAAGTCCTACTTTTCATCAAAGTGTAACCATTTGCATCTCCTCCTTCACTACCTGCAGAGAAGTATGTACCTTAGTGAAGTTGATGTTAACAACATTAATTCCCAAGGAAATACAAGCATCCACACACATCCTAGTCAAAGAGGAACCCTTATCCTATGACCTCTTCAATACTTGAGCTAAAACATCTAGCTCTAATTAGAAACACTTCCTTTCCCAACTAGTAATTTCTCCAAGATATTGTTATCTTCGGATCACAATTCAAGTGGCATGAAAACACTAGTGAAATTGTCAAGTGCAAGGAGACATCCGTGTTGCTTCCTTGCCTTTAAGATTCAGCTTAGTTCAGTTAGTTCACAGATTGACAAACGCCCTTCTTTGTCCCACAAAATTAAAACACATGAAAAACATTAACTTGTCACAAATCTATCTTTCACATCATTATCGGATCTTGGGCTTTTTGTTAAAAAAAGAAGCCTTTCTTAGATAGGTCTTGAAAAATTTGCACAATAGGAAGCAAGCCAAATTAACATCTTCTATGCTGTTCTAGGAAAGAATTTTCCTATTCAGATAAGTAATGTTTTAACTCAAATTCCAGTGAAATCAATGGAGTTTAGTACATCTATAACACATTCCCTGAACTGAGACTTTTAACAAATAGTATTTTGCCTGCTGATAGCTTTGAATTACTCTTGCATAACCATGTAGTACTTGGGTTTATAACATCTATAACATCATGTTTGCCAACCATCAGATTTTAAAGCATCATCAATAATTTACTATCCAGACTATTTTGTCATCCCACCTTCTGCGAACACGCTCCCCATGACTTAAAAGGAAATTCACAGATTTTTAGCAAAATATCGATGTGAAGCCAAAAGAGGTGGGAGATTTCGAGCATATCCTGAGAAGAAGCCATTTTATCTACTCTCAAAAAGCGGTTTTGGTCCCTGTCATGGTTTTATCTATACTATGCCTTCTTATTTCCTTCTCATCCACTGCAGGAGCACAGAATGCTACTTCATTTCTTTAACTTTCATGTTTGCAGCTCCTGCAAGAACATACACTTTTTGATCTCTACATTGTCATGACAGTGAGTCCTCTCTATTTTACTCTAGCTACAATGATAGCTTCTATTTTTCCCCACCATTTCTGCCCATCTCCATTTTGACAAAGGATCCTTACTATTGTACAAAGATGCTTACTGTTTCACCCTCCTGACTAGTGTTCTAACACTGGTTGCCCAACACCCCTTCAAATATTAGCATGGTTTCTCCTTGCCCCTTGTTGTCCTACTGTCTCATTCACTTCTGTCTATTGCCCTAATCTCATTTACTTGATCCTCTTATTCCTTTGCACTAAAGCCAGATTTAAAGAAAATATGAGTAATCTTGAGGCATTACTGCACTCATTCAGAGACTTAACAAGATAATAACTCTTTAAACTGTTATTCAAAAAACAAAACAGACACACACACACCAAAAAGCAAACTACAGACACCTATAACTGCTGGAATTTACCAGTAAAGGACTCTCCACAAACCCAGTGCACACACCAGTTGCACTGCTAACACAACAACTTGCATTTGCAGTGCTTCCTGCTGGTGGTTACCTCTCTTCAAGATCATCGGACACACAAAGTTCACATTCAAGAGAATTCAGAGACACCATCACTAGGTTATTTACTTAAGAGCAGCTCAAAACATGGCTGACCCACCATGCACAGCAGCACAGGGACTTACAATTCCTGAGAACCAAGAAAAGCAAAGATGCAGCATGTCGGTAGTTGCATGAACAATAGTGTCTACTTGTTGCAGAAGAGACACACCAAAAAGTGCCACATTACTAAAATACTCTGGTATTTTAGCTGGCTTATTCTAAAATGACTACGTAAGATAAGCCAGAAAGCTCTAGGAATTTTCTGTGAAAAAAGGCCTTTTTCCAAAGAACAAAAAAGAGGAACACACCATTGCTCACTGGGAGGAACAGATCTTGCCTTTGCTGAATTTCCAGTACGTTGATACTCTGCACCAGCCACATCCCTACAGAGAATGTGGCACTCTGGGAGAACCAGCCTCCACCAAAATGGGGGTAAAAATGAATAAGAACAAGCTTATTTTCATCAGTGTACTCATGCAAGCAGACAATGATTTGTAGCAGTAAATGAACATGTCTTTGCAGACAGGACCTTGACTTTGTCAAACCAGCTTGGCTTTAACAGCCTACACTTTCAATGTGCTCCTCACATGGGTTTGTTCATTTTAAGCTGTTCTTTCCCTTCTTTTTTGTTCATTTTAAGCTGTTCTTTCCCTTCTGAGAAGCCCTGTGACCCTTAGCTTTCCTGGAAATAGAGTAACTCAGATGAACATCTAATGGCTTAAAATGTCTAAAGGCACTTGTGATGGAAGAAGAAAACCAGCAACCGGACTTCCATAAGCAGTCTACAGAACTCAGGTGACACTCTCCCAAGCAACCTTGTCCACTGCAGCAGGAATAGGCACAAACCCCTGAGAAGTCAAAACCAGGAACCTGACTTTTCAGTCTCTTTCCACCTAGCAGAATTAACAAGATGTGAGGACTCTGTAAATCACAGTACTCAGTAAAGCACAATTCACTTACCCATCCTCAACTTCTCATACCACATGAGACACCCTAGCAGGACACCTTTAATTCTCAGAGGCTCAGTAGCAGCCTGGAGACTAGAGGATAAGCCTGAAGATCTAAACAGTTATTTAATAGTTTTGATAGTTACCAGAACCTCAGCTTTAAATATTAGGTTTAAAAAAAAAAAAAAAGCCTGAAATTAAAAGACATTTCTATTTCAATAATTTCCTCAGAAAGCTTAGTTGAAATATCTTCCCTTTTGTACCTGGCCTACTTTGATCAGTTTTTATAAATAAAATAATCCACTTAAGCTGTTCTGTGGACATTGAGATGTTTTTGCTGGCTACACTACTGAGCCTACACTCTTGCAACTTAGGTCACTGGCTTGCATGAATATAAAATTACAACTGCCAAAGGCTAACTTTAGCTCAAATGTGCAACGCTGTGTTTTGACCTTACTCAAATCTAGAAAAAAAAACCCAACCTTTTAAAATACAGTAAATTTTAATGAACTTCAAGAGACTTTTACTCCCATTTGCATTATTCTTCAAATTTCTTTAATATGTTTTCAATCTAAACACAGAAATCCCACAATCGTTTTCCTCTTTAAAACTTCTTACTTTGCCACCTACCAAGCAGTCACCAGCTCCTTGGCACAGTGAGTTTTCCATAACATTGGAAAGCCTCCTCTCTTTATGTATATCCAAACAAAGATAAGAATATGCAGACTTTTTGTTTGTTTGTTATACATCACATTAGCTTACAGTGGAGCTGTTTCTGTGGGAAAGCTACATGAGGTCTCCCAAAGAGAAAATAAACAAACAGTGAGATGATACACTACACCAGCTGTAACCTCCTCACAGCTACCCCAGCCGCTGTGACTCCAGCAAGAACTTTACTGGATATGTGACAGCTCTCCTCTTTCAAATTTCCCATCTTCTAATCATCAGTGTCAGCAATTTCAAGGATTTTAATGAGTTCCCCATTCCCATGATCCACATGGAAACCTGGGAAGCCAAGCTATGGAGGGCATGGGCAACTGAGTTCCTGTGACAGCCTCACCTACCCGCATCTCCCAGCCCAGATTTGCACTGTCAGAAATTTATTTCTGAGCACAGAAGAACTGCAACTCCTGCCACTTCATCGAGGTGAGATCACGACAACATTGCAGTGGCCTCCTCAGAATGGTACTGGAGCTCCCAGATATGAAAGCACAGTGCTGCTAGGAACCTGAAGTGACTGAACAAAGCCAGGAACAGACCGAGGAATTCACAACTACAAACTCTCAAAAGCTGGCAAAGGCCCGTCCAAGACAATCCCAATGAGGAGCTGTGCAATGACGTGACGAATACATGACAAACTGTCTGGGCCATGACTTTGCCTAGTGTTTCAGTGCACCAACACAGTGGCATTTTCCCCACTTAACTCCTCTCTGTGCTTTTCCCTTGTTTTTATGTCTACCATTTTTCTTTTCTTTTAAACACCTTGGGGTCCAAGAATACAGTGAACAGCAATATAATCCAATACATACCCATTAGAAGTAAACTGCAATTCTAAATCTGAAAATTCAGTCCCTAAGACATTTACCATCATACCACTTGTACAAGCATTAGGTTAGTATTTACTTCCCTCTATTTTCAGCTTTCCGAAAAGGTAGTTCCTCACAAAACAATCTATTAATGTTAGGTGAGAAGTACTGATTTTAAATTTTCCAGCATCCAAAATTCAACACCCTTCTTACTAAAACCAACACTATATTTCATAATTTTTCCACATTCCATCATTCTTCGGCTTGCATTTTTGAAGCCAACAAGTTTCCAGAATTAGCTGGTACAAGCCACAGCACTGGAGCATTTGAAAACAAAATGCTGGAACACACACACACACACAGAGTCTAACAAATTTTAGATGTAGTTTCATATTGTGTTTACAAATATGCTATCTACATGCTTGAGCGCATGACTTGAGTTACACCAGGCACTAAACTTAGCTACTGGGTCGTGCACAAGCTTCAGTTATTTGCATGCTCTCAGCTTGCAGTGAATGGGAGGTGGCTTGGCAGTTGATGCTCAAAAGCTAATTACTCCGTGATAACTTGTAGCTCTGACCCCAAGGTGTCTTAACATGACCCCTACAACAAACAACACACACACACACAAAAAAAAGTGAGAATGACAAAAAGTGAAAAGAATGCTCTCCATGCAGAAGAAAATGGAAGTTATGAAGAAATGAAGTCTTCATCCTATTTTGATCTGTTCATGATCTGTTCATCAAACTGCAGTTTCTCATACATCTTATGTATCGGATGAGGCATTTCGGCGTATTTGTGTGCTTTTAGAAGGTGCGAAGAAGACTTTCCAGTTAGTAGCAGCTTCTTAAAAAGTCATAAATACAGCTATCCTTAGAGCTAAGAAAGTACATTTGGTTGCATTTTACTATTCAGAACAAGAAGTTTGGGCTCTAGCACATCAGGAATAAATTCCTAGACATCCTGAAACATTGAAACCCGATTGGGGAATTACAGGCACAAACATCACTGGCTGCATCGTGGATAGAGGTTGGAGATTTTGCAGCTCGTTGAAAATACACACACATACACACTTTTTACTCCCTTCACATATGAAAAGTTCACATCATACATAATAAATACTTTCTTCAGACCAAATACCCTGAAGCATAAGCATATATCTTAAATGTTTCCTCTGAAGCACCGAAAACTTATTCTGAAGACCTATACTGCATCATTCTAAAGGAATTTTTAAATATCTTTGGTTATTATGAACAAACATAGTAATTCAAATGGCAGGTTTTGGTTGACCTTGCCTTGGCAGAGAAAGGATGAAGGCGGCAACTGAGGATATTATTTCACCCCCCAACTTCCACACTTGAGTGGTATTCAGTTTTCATTCAGCAAACATTTCCCCACCAGATGCAGTTCCTCACTTTTCTTAAAATGATTGTCTGCTTCGGTCATTTCAGCAAACGAGAACACATAAACACAAGTTATATATATTCTTTTATATGTACAGTATTTCAAAGTCAAACTTTGAACTCTCTCAGAAGAGAACGTTCCCATTATTGTAGCCACCCTGTCCCGGCACTCCTCCTGCAGCAGATGTGGCTTTGTACTCACCCCACCATATGCAGTAACCTCAGAGAAGTTACAAATAGTGAGGTATGGCACCACCAAGTTGTGTAGGTACCAAACCCAGCCATTTCTCTGTGAAACACAGTTCAGTCTTATATAAAAGTGTTGCATAAACTTAAGAAGATACAATTTTCTATTTGTTGCCAACTTTTGGTCTTGCTAGTCAAAACTTCCCCTTTTCTTCCACATGTATACACACTTCTGTCTGTGCCAACAAAACAGCATTCAGACAAATGCTGCGTCTGCTTTTCCCTCTCCAAAGTAGCAAAATACCAAATAAAACTCTACCGAAGGAAACCAGGCTCAACCAGCTATTATTTTCTCTTCTCAAGCAACTGTTCCAACATCCTCCAGGAACATCTTTATAAATGGCAGCTCTATCACGTAGCTTTGAAGACAGCTTTCATAATTTGCCTGCCTCAGCTTTGTAACATCAGGTCTCTCAGCCTACAACGGCTCCGTCCCAGAGAGCACCAGAAATCCAGGCTGTCCCCACAGGAAGGCAGTAAAGCAAACAGTTTGCAAAACACTACCTCGACTGAGGAACCGGTAGATCAAGGCAGTTCAGAACCGCCTTCTCCTTCTGGATCAGCCTAGAGCTATATTTTTAAACCAGATTGGTTTTACTTACAAGGAAGCAATGATACAGATTTAAGTCGGAATATAACGAACACATTGCAATTAAAATAATAATGAAAACCTTCACACGTTTGTTCACAAGTTTCCACTTAGCAAACCAGGTGAATGAAATAAATGTTGTGTCACTGAATGGTGAAAAAACTCGTAGCTCTTTGGAAGAGAAGCGCATAATTCCTGCTGAGCACAGCATTTGCTACAATCGTGGGAACGCAGAGCAGAATAAGCCTGGCTGGAGACATGTCTACATTTCAGAGAAAAAACATGGCTTTTTTAACTGTGTAATCTGTTCTTCAATAAAAAAGTATTTATTGTTAATATCAACAGATTAGCATGTAGCTTCTGCTAAAGTTTGTTTATAAACAGCCATCATACATACAGACTATTCAAGTTAAACATTTAAAATTCTGAAGTAAGAAAAACTCCACACACCAACAGATAACATTTAAGAAGCTTAGAACAAACCACCTTTTATAAAATGTACTTTACTTCCCTAAAAACAGTTTGGAAGAAAGGTTGTGTTGCTTCAAAATATTTCAAAACCTGCTTGATTTCAGAAGAGAACAATTTACAGCTGAAAACATTCAGGGTTCTTATTTGTGCAGTGTATTAAAGAAGATGTAAGCTGCATGTTTATATTAATATGAGTGGAAAGGGTGGACATTAATGACATTACTGTGCATTCTTACCCAGCCACTAGAACATATTTTCCATCTGGTTGATCCTTTAACCTTTCCAGCAGGGACAAACGTACTTTGGCTTTGGTTTGGCCATAGATCTCAATTTCATCTGTAAGCAATCCTATCTCCTTGGCAAGTACATCAACAGCTTTTGGACTCTGTGCTCGGGAAATCTCAATATCACTGGAAAAGAAAACAAATAGGAGCCAGGAGATTTCTCTCAGCTTAGGTGGTCGATGACAGAGCACAAAACAACAGCAAACACTCCAACAATGGGGTTATTGTGTTCAGTTTTTCAATCCTCTCTCACATTTTATTAACCAAACCTAAATATTAGCTAACACCTAATACAATATTGGAAATCACGTGCAGTGTTTGTTAATTGTTACAGTTTCACAGAGTTTTCTCATTTAATCAGACTCCAAATATTATGTAATGCTTTCATATCAAGCTAGAGACGTGTCTGCTGGATGCTCAAGCCTGTCCCACTGGAATGGATGTTTCTGGTTTTGTTTTTCTTCTCCTCCCTCCCAGTATATTTCAGCACATACACTTTACTAAAAAGCGCATACATTTCTTGGCCAACAGTCACATAAACACGTTAGCTAAACCCGATGCTTTCATCAGAGGGTACCCACCAAGCACGCTAAGCCTTGCTACTCCCCTGTGAGGGCACCAAGGGAAACAAGGCATTTGAAGATCAACTCACGTGCTTCTAAAACACATTGAAAATGGCCACATAGCAGGAGTTTAATGCACAGGGCTCAGGCCAGAAGTCCAGTGAGCTTACAAACTATTTCCAGCAAGGACTGCGAGTGGCAACTGAGGCAGGAGAACAAGCATGGAGCAAGCACATGTAGTAGAATTGCCTGAGAGGAGAGGGCTGTAGGCTGGGGGACACTACCGTACCTGCAATTCCTGACCTAGACCACCTGGACCCTTTGGATTTAATACTCCTTCATGGATTTTGTGTTTGTGGGCTTGACCTAGTTGCCCCTTATTACGTCCACTTAAGCACTTAGCAGCTGCAAGCTCCCGTGGCAGTAAAGTCCAGGGCCCAGCACACAAGATGTGAGGAGTTGTGTCCTTTGGCTTTGAATCACTCACATCACCACAAAGCAAGTTAAAAAATTACCAAGAGATTAATTACTTTCAGCCTAACTAGACTAAATTCCTTCCTGCAGTTTCAGTTGATTACGATATTGTTAAGATAGAATCTGGCAATGGCATCAAAGCAAATGTCCTGAACTTTCAAACAGTCTGCAAGACCTCAAATATTCACAGATGAGCACAGAACTACTGCCAGATCTCAACTCTATGTGTGGACTTTGGCTGTTCTGCATCCAAGAGCAAATGATCAGTTTATGCCAACTTAATTGCTTGCAATTTTTTGAGGGTATCCTAAACTGGGACCGATTTTCAATTCTAATTCTCAAGCATCCCACTTTTGCATCCTGCAGCAGATAAATGAAACCCAGAAATCATCCATCCAAGCACTGACGTAATCCAGTACTACAGGACAAGAAGTTACTCAATCACAGCACTTAGTGGTTGGGTTGCAGACCATTTCATTGCACATACTAACCTGGAATCTGCTTTCTTTCAAAGACATATGTCTTTGACGACAACACACTAAACACATCCTCTTACGCAAAAGGAGATACCTTAGGCTTTCTTATGCATTACTTCAAACACAACTATCCATAAAAACGTAACGAGAAGACAAGACGGAGTAGCTTACAAACAGCATATGAGAAAGAATATTTAAAGTTCTCATTCAGAACTCTCTTTATAAAAACAACTTGAGTCCCAGAAAAATATTGGTAAGTTGATGACAGTGTGGTCTCTTAAGGTTTAAGCACGAAAAATCTGTAGGGTGACTATTCTCCTCTTAAAGCAATTGATGTATTCGGCAAGTGGAGAAGGATGTAGACTATTAGTATGACAGAAAGTTATATCTGCCCAATTTTTTTCCCTACTGAATGTATCAGCCTCTTTACTAAAAGACAGAGGCTACTATTTGAAATCTCAGGCCAGACTATCAAGACTCCCTGCAGCAATCTCAGCCCTTCCTATTTCCCTCATCTCCTGGGCCACAAATGCCTCCCTCTCAGAGTTCTGGGAGAAACAATGAGGCTTTTCCCACCCTGCAGGTGGCAAAAAGAGAAAGCAACAAAACTGACCACTTATAAACAAATTAAAAGGTAAAAAAATTCTAGTTAAATAAATTACAAATGTTTTTAGACATTGAGTAAAACTGACAGTGGATGCTAACATTGCTGTTGCCATCTCCCCATCTGAAGTTCCCTCAAGAACCTTCAAGGCAATTAGATTTTTAACAACTTAAAATCCTTTAATGACAGACTGCACACTGATACATGCAATGAAGTGATAAAAGGCGTAATTTCACAATGAATTGACATTTATACCCTAACTAATACTAAGGCTAAACAACACATATGAAATGTTTATGTCTAGTCTGTTGTTTCTGGTAAAAAGCATTTTCCAAAGCACAGGAAATTAAAGATTTAACTAGCATTTAGAAGTCCACATTTGTGGCTAGCTCTTCTAGTTTGACAATATATTTTCTACGTTAAGAATTCCAGAATTATTCAATAAGTTACATTACTCAATATTGCTGGAAATGTGCAACAGTGGTTATTCTGCATGTATGAGAATTGTTAAGCAAAAACTCCACCACTGACAGTGGGAAATCATAATTTACAAAATACAGGAAAATTTAAAAGATGGGGGAAAGCTCTACATCTACTCAGCCTGTGTGCTGGTGGGTTTTTTTTTTACTGTAAGAAAATCTTCTGTTCCTTTTCCAGTATCTTTGGAAATACTTCAATTAACACCCAGATCTCACAGAAATCAAAAAAGCAGATGTTCCTAGTTTTAGTGCTTAAGTGGCTTTGCCCCATTTTCAATGAAAACTCCATGTGTTTCCACACAACACAGGGTATTACTGTAAGATTACATTTTATTGCAGGATACTTTCCATCTGATGAGTTATTTTATGTTTAAAAGAAAAAAGACATAAAGCTAGAGGGTTATCAAAGAGATGGAAGTCCTATTACTGGTTATATTATATGCCACTATATATTAATTACGTAAGTATCACACTCATGACATCACATGCTTTAATTTACCTTTTAACTGTATTATTCAAGGATAGATTTTTCAGGCTTTAATTCTAGAAATGTTACATGCTGGCCCAGGAAACGTTTAAGCATTACTTCCCCCTTATGCCTCCGGGTACAATAGAAACTTATTCTTTTGCCATCTCTGTTTCGAATTACAATTGCGTCCATTCCCATTAAACTGTTGTAAGTGACAGTGAAAATCAAAGCGCTTAGAAAAGAAAACATTTTCTTACAGCTTTCCAAAAACACAGCAGTGGGATTCAGAATGACAGAATCGCAGGGTGGTTGAGGTTGGGAGGGGCCTCTGGAGATCATCTGGTCCAACCTCCCAACTTGAGCTGGGCCATGGGCTGCCCAGGACCATGCCCAGACAACTTTTAAATACCTCCAAGGAAGGAGACACCACAGCCACCCTGGGCAACCTGTGCAAGTCACCCTCACAGTAAAATAGTGTTTCCTGATGTTCAGATGAAGCCCCATGTGTTCCAGCTTGTGCCCATTGCCCCAGGAGCACCGGGCGCCACTGAAAAGAGCTAGGGCTCCATTTGTGCCCTTATATTTATATATGTTGCATTTATATGTATTGATAAGATTCCCCTAAGACTTCTCCAGCCCGAGCAGTCGCAGGCCTCTCCACCTTTCCTGCTATGCGAGGTGCTCCAGTCCCTTCATCACCTGCCTGGCCCATATGCACACACACAAATATGCACACAAAAATTTTGAAGTTTTCTTACATTGACAGAACCTCACTTCAAGTCCTTGGTTCCACCCAACACACAGCAAAGCCCATCAGCACAGCAAAGGGCTCAGGCTGCTCTAAATGTCAGAGATGTTAGCAACCCTGTAAAGGCAGACCTAAAATCCCTGCGGCCCAGACAGGGAACTGCTGGAGAGGGTACACTAGAGGGCTACAAAGATGATTAGGGGCCTGGAGCATCTCCCTGATGAGGAGAGGCTGAGGGACTTGGGTCTTTTTAGTCTGGAGAAGAGAAGGCTGAGGGGGGATCTGATCAATGTTTATAAATACTTAAAGGGTGGATGTCAAGAGGATGGTGCCAGTCTTTTTTCAGTTGTGCCCATGGATAGGACAAGAGGAAATGAGCACAAACTTGAACATAAGAAGTTCCACCTAAACACGAGGAGGAACTTTGCTTTGAGGGTGGCAGAGCCCTGGAACAGGCTGCCCAGGGAGGTGGTGGAGTCTCCTTCTCTGGAGACATTCAAAACCTGCCTGGACAAGTTCCTGTGCAACCTGCTCTAGGTGGACCTGCTTTGGCAGGGGGGTTAGACTAGATGATCTCCAGAGGTCCCTTCCAACTGCATGTGATTCTGTGGTTGAAAAAATTCTGACTATGAGAATAAATACGCTTCCTGCTTTTCACATCTACACGGGAATTTAAAAGTCTAATGCAGAAGGAAGTACTTCTACTGAGGGAAGAAAATAAACACAAGAGCAAATGCCATTGAAACCGCTGAGCCTTAACTAGATCCATAAACACCTCCCTACGTTAGCGTTTAGCTATTAGGAACTTCTTGTATTTTGTATTCCTGTTGATGCTACACAAGGCTTCACCTCCCTCAATGAAACCTTCCAGTTCTACGTCTTCATTAAATAAAGCTTGGCTCCAATGTACATCATAAAAGTAAAAATTGATGGGAAACAGAAGGCATTCAACAAAAAGGCACAACATGTAGTCTACATAAGTTGATTAAAAATAATTAGGCACGGACCACTTTTGTGGTTCATTGTCACATTTAACATTTGTCTACTCTTTTTTTTTTTTTAATTTAAAAAAAACCACTTATTACCTGGGCACTGGGAAGAGCGGCCGCAGTTTCAAGCAGCGGAGGTCCCACTTCCTGTACCGCTGGGACTGGATCCATCGCTCTGTGTTTTTTACCATGTTCTGTTTTTAAACAAGAAAACAGCACAGACCAGCTGCATCGTAAATGCTGAACATTAATTTCAAACAAGCATGTTGAAATAACTTTTATGGCAAAGGGTAACAAAAAACAAACTTAAAAATCTTCCCATTTCATAGTTTTAGGATGAAAGAATAAAACCATCACTGCACTATTACTGTCTTATTGTTTGCCCTCCTTTCAGAAAGAGACAAGACCATTAACATGTAAGTAGCAGAGAAAAGTCTCTGAATAGGCACTTGGAAATTTTGTTCTAGCAAAACGAAGAATTAATTTTATTCTCTCACACCTTAAAAATAATGGAAGATCTTAATTGTTCATTGACTAACTCATGCTGCCTTGACATAAAATGAACTTTTGGACCCTCTATCATCACATCACAAAAATGTGCACAGATATAATTAATTTTCACTGTTTTACCAGAATACGTAACATTAGTCTATTGATACAAATGCTTCTGCCAAGCTTTACAGTAATCATTGGAATTGATTTTTAATTTACCTTTCTCTAACCCAATGTAAGAGGCATGACTCACCCTAACTAGCTGAGTAAAAAGGGAAGGCAGGTAAGATGTTCAAAAGAGCAAAACAAAAATTAAAATCTAAACTGCAGAAGCAATTTCTACAATTCAAAGAAATAACATAAAATTTACAGTATTTGCAGTTACACTAACCTGCATTCGCATTGCTATTGCAAGAGAACCAACAGTGTTTTCAGCAGCATGGTTGTTTTGCTGACCATAGTTGTGTTTCTCTGTAAAATAAAAGTATTACACTAATAAATCACAAAGTTTCTGTGAGTGGGAGCATGTATATTTAAAAGCTAGGTCCAAACAAAAAAATTTTTAATGTCGACTTGAAATTTAACGATGTCACTGACAAAATCATAGGTGGCTTCTTTAATACTTCAAATCACCCAGGAGGATGGATGTACTGTGAAAACCAGAGAGCAACTGGTTCAGAGCATATTACACAAACACACACACGCACATGATGAAGCATACACATATTTGAAAAAGAAAATTAGGAAACACAAAAATTAATTCCAAGTTTCAAATAATTCCTTTTGGACAAAAAAAACCACTCCAAGCCAACAACAAAAAGCCAGACAGCTACGAGGATTTAAAAACCTACATATATTTTTAAACTGAACACCAAACTGAGCATGGTAAAGATTGTTCTTTTCCACACACCGACTACAGCAAGAAAGAACAATGAAAGGATCACAGAATACAATACAGGATTATTGTCCAATTGGATTTATAACTTGGAATCAGAATATGCAAAATTTTTTGAGCTGCAAAAGTTATCTTCATCAATGTGACATTAAAAGTAGAAATTCTGAAGAGTCTACGCAATTTAGAGACAGTTACAGTTGTTTCTATTGGCAATATATCACACAATAATCACACTTCAGCTACCCTAACTAAACATATTATTTTGTCATTTTCCTGTAATCCTTCTTTTGGCTTGTTTTTCTGTTGCTTATTGACTTTTATCTAGGCACAGTTTCTCCAAAATTCACGTCCTCGTCTCTGTGGGCGTATGAAGGCCCCAGTCGCATTCCGAAGGGCGTAGACACAACTGTAATAAAAAATAACAACTGTATGCTGACAGCTTTAGCCTTTCGCCCACAGGGTAACCGAAGTGCAAACCCTGACCTGGTCAAGCTCTCGCTCTGCTCATCCCATCTGCGCCGACAATCATAAAGCGCTCACGTTGCCTTGCACAATCACCCCTCACCAAAAGGGTCCCAGGGGGGTGGCAGGGGACAGAAACCTCAGGCTGGAGCCAGAGCGGCAGGCAGCGGCGTGCAGAGGAGGCAGCACGGCTCCCCATGGTTTTCCAACCCTTTCTCAAACTTTCTTGTCACTAGACATCTAGTACGTCAGTGCCAAAGCTACCCAAGCAGAGGGTGACAGTCCTGACGCTGAACTCTAATTAAGAAAGCATCTGAAAATCCTTCTGCTTGTATTAACACTTGCCATTTAAAAAAAATGTCTCCTGGAGATGCTCAGTTTTAGACTCAGACAGAAGAGTTTTACTGGAACAGCCTATCACAGTCATAAGTTGACTGTTGTTGCTTTGAGACCAGCCTGGGAGAGCTGCCAAAGAGACAAATGAAGTAGGAAGAATGAAGTTTAAAATCCCCTTTCAGACAGCTGTGCTTTGCAGAAACATTTAGACTTTTTATGTTATTTGGCTTAATATGACTTCTTTATCAGGGCGGAGCCAGCATGTGTGTAAATACATATCAGAATGAGACATTTCCCTTCAATAAACTACTTCTCTCCGGCTGCCTATGCTACACACACACCCCACAAATGACTGACGAGGCTTTTATAGGGGTGAGGGTGAAGCTAGAGGTGAAAGTCATGCACACACGAGCTAGTAAGACAATCACAGGACTGCAACAGCTCTCTTAGGATAAATTTTCCAGATGGGAGCCAGGATAGCACTCTCTGCTTTGGATTTGGGCCAGAAGATCAGCTGAACATTGTGCTCCCTCCTCCGACTCACCCCAAGGAAGGCCCATCCGCCCATCTATTCGTACCCCATCGTGTGGATGGGCGAGAGTCACTGTCATGCCCTACCTGTCTGCTCAGGCAATTTCGGATAGCGAAGAGGTGGTGAAATGGTTGAATTTCCCACTAACATACTCAAACCATAGCACACTCAAACTTCAGCATTCAGGTGACCCCAAAGGAGTGACCCCAAATCCCAAATAATTTTGGCGTCCTTAAGTTTTGTTCAGAAACTTGATTTTCCTTTCTGTACTTTCACACACAAAGCATTTTCCTGCAAGTCACTACCGGCACTCACTTGATTCCAAAATCATTAATGGAGTAAAATGTTGCACTGCTAGAAATTGTAGAACATTTTAAAATTGTGATCATCTACAAGTCTTTGATCAGATTAAAAACATACTTGAGAAATTCTGTCACTTCGGAGCAGGCACTTTTAGCTCTACTCTCCTGGCTTACACCATTACAGCTGCCCGACTCAACCATGTTCTTGCAAATGTTGAGTGCTCTTAGTATCACAGAATTGTCTAGGTTGGAAGGGACGTTTAAGATCATCTAGTCCAACCATCAACCTAACTCTGATAAAACCCATCACTAAACCATGTCACTAAGCATTATGTCAACCCATCTTTTGAATACCTCCAGGGATGGTGCCTCAACCACTTCCCTGGGGAATCCATTCCAATGTTTAATATCCCTTTCAGTGTAAAAATTTTTCCTAGTATCCAATCAAAACCTCCCCTGGCGCAATTTGAGGCCATTTCCTCTTGTCCTGTCGCCTGTGACTTGGGAGAAGAGACTGACCCCCGCGATACAGCGATAAGGTCTCCCCTCAGCCTCCTCCAGGCTGAACACCCCCAGCTCCCTCAGCCTCTCCTCATAAGACTTACTCTCCAGACCCCTCACCAGCTTCATTGCCCTTCTCTGGACCCGCTCCAGCACCTCAATGTCTTTTTTGTGGTAAGGGGCCCAAAACTGGGCACAGCACATCACAAGTGCCAAGTACAGGACATGCGAGTGTGTTAAACTACATGTGTACCTACATTAGAAATCTCACCATCACCTAGCAAGAATAAAAATTCATTTCATGGCCATTGTTGCTTTCAGGCTTCATGTAGCTCCTGTGACCCCACAGATGTTGAGTTGGACATTTCTAAAGCAAGAAAAAACCCAGAACAATTTCCAAGCACCTCAGCCAGAATCCACCATGTATTGAAAGTGAAGAGTCAGTTGTTAACTCAGTTGTTTTTCCAAGGTCATGACTACGCCACAATGGGCTTTTAATAAATATCTTGCAATTAAACTAAGTGCATTCTTCCTGTCAAACAGACACCTGTGTTTCATGTACCTCTTTAGTAAGTCTTGAGGCCAGCATTTTTTAAAGCTGCTAAAATGCATTTCTGCTATTTTTTCGGAGTTTCTCCAAGATTCTGACAGTCTCAAAAGCATAAGCATAAAGACAGATGGGCATTTGGTAGATAAGTTCTATTTAAATTATCTTGCTAAAAATCTCATGCTGCCTTTCCAAAGAAATGCTCTACTTAGCACAGCCCACTGATACAACTTGAAAAATGTAAAGAAATCTATATGCTCATGCCAAATCTTACATTTCCTGCCTTAAGAATGATTGTTAGTGTGGTACGTGAACACCACACAAATGTTTTAATGCAGTTTTCCTGATAGCACTCTTTTAGGGAAGGGAAACACTAATATCTATAGTTGTATATAGCAATTAAGGCATGAAGACACTTAAGGCTCAAGACATGGCAATGCAGTTACCCTGTATAACTTTTAAGTCTCTGAAAATCCCAGTCTTCCTCTGCAATGGAAGGAGAGATTTAGGTATCTGAACATGGGGCTTGCACCAGGCAGCACGCAGAGCCAGGAGAGTTCAGTCATTAGTGGTGCCCGCTCAGGCTACAAGGATTGGCACATCCTGCCTTCAGAGACCTGCACCTCCACCCCAAGTCCAACACCTAAGAGGTTTCTGCTTAGAAGGATTACAAGAACTTAAAAAGTTCCATCTAAACACAAGGAGGAACTTCTTTACTTGGAGGATGGCAAGGCACTAGAACAGGCTGCCCAGGGAGGTGGTGGAGTCTTCTTCTCTGGAGACATTCAAAACCCGCCTGGACACATTCCTGTGCAACCTGCTCTAGGTGGACATGCTTTGGCAGGGGGGGTTGGACCAGGTGATCTCTGGAGGTCCCCTCCAATCTCATATCATGTTGTGATTCTGTGATGTTTTTGCTCCTCTTCTCTTTTTGCCATAGTCCAGGTAAGTCCACAGAAGTCACAGGATAACATAATGTACAAACCAGCACTAAACAGTAGCTCATATCATCATTATTAATCCTGGTATGAAGACTCTCCTCCAGCCTTTCTTCCCTCACCTGACATCTTTTTTCCTATTTATACATCAGACACACATATGCACATCCTCTGTAAACAAACACCCACTTTTAAAGGACTTCTCCTGAAGATGCAGCTTTTAACCACACTGTGTTGTCACCAAATATATTGCAAATACTTGGTTTATATCACTTTCAAGACCTTTTAACACCTCTTACCTGACAGTAAGTCTCGAGAAAAACTGATAATGGTGGTTCCAGGCTTTATCCAGCTCCCAGGGACATCATCTGGTTTCGTACTGCCAACTATCACCACGTCCGCGTGTTGAAGCTAGGGACGGCCCAAAACAAAACAAGCATTAAATGTTAGAAATACATTCCTCAACATGCACCTTATGAAACTTAACATGAAACTTAAGAACAATAGCATTTAAAACAAAGTCAGGTAAACAAACTGTGAGATCAGGCAAGTGGGGTCAGAGTCGACACCAATAATATTTAATGGGGATTACATACTTTCAAAGAAAAAGTCCTATCACTGTCCAAAGTCCTGGCCAACAAGATAACTTGGAGAGACTTAAGAAAGAAAAGGGTTGAAAGACAGTAAATAGGCAATTATAAATAGTACAGTCAAATTATCTGACAGTAGAAAACCAGGCCAGCTGACAGGAATGCAAGATGACCTGATCTGCAAACATCAATGCCTTTGAAGAATACCAATTAAAGCATTTTTTCCCTTCTCAGTTCATGTTTGCTAATCAGCGCCTCTGATTTAGTTCAACCTGACAGATGTTGCAGCAAAAATGGTTACTACAAAAATTCTCCTAATCAAAGACATAAGCGTCTTCCTTTCCTCCCTCCTCTGAAACGGGGTCCTGTACCAATTACCGGAATCACCATGAGATAAGGGAGAGCACCAGAGGCAGAGGTATAAAGAGCCACTAAAAAAGCAAAACACAGGCACAGCACTGCCTCAAGCCTGAATGTAAAAATTACTTCAGGGACATAGTGATTTGGGGAATATTTCGAAAAATGCAAATTAATACCAAGTGTCACAAACTCAGCGAGCCTCTCTGTGAATTGACTTGTGACTGACAAGCGTTCCAGCTTCTTTTTTGGCCAAGAGCGCTCTGACGCAACCCTGCCCAACGCTCCTGCCAAGAAAGAACAGCTACAAATCCTATCAGGATAGCAGGTTTTTGGCACCGCTGAGCATCCAGGAGGGGAGAAGAGCATAACTGTGGCGGAAAAGGCAGAAAGCTAAAAAAGCTCCATCTTCTCCCTCAGAGGACGCAAGGATGGCCTAACCCTCCTCGGAGATCCACACACGGAAACAAAGCCAAAGTTGTGGGAGAAGATTTGCTCGCTTGACAAATGAGCTAATGCAACGAGTGGATTCAGGCGTCGGTCAGAAGCCCCTCAACGCTCCTGTGATTGCCTGCAAACTCAGGGTCCCATCAGCAGCCCCTCAGCCTTACCCAAACCCCTACACCCTCGCCCCTGGTGCCAATATCGGCTTACACGGCACTCCTAGAAGGCCACATAAATCATAATGCTCCACCAGCGTCAGGTCAAACCCTACTGAGGAATCTGCAAGTAAATCCGGATAAAAAGACGCTGCAGTGACTTCTGTACCAGGAACAGTACGCTGAAGACACACTTTCCTGCAACAGGAGGCCAGTCTCTGCCCTAAGAGTTAACATTATCAACACCGAGAAAAGCAGTGATTATTCTCAGTGATTATTCTCAGTTACATGAACCCAATCTTTTTGTTTCTTTTTTTTTGTAACAAAAAAATGATTCATATTCTAGCAGCTATAACTCACATACTGTAGTCAGGTATGTCATCCCATGCCAAGCCTCTGGGACAGGGACTAAGAGCTCTGCACACCGCTGGCCATCATGAAACTACGGACCAGTTGAGAGCTGTACGCAACAAGCAATAAGTTTGACAAACGTTCAGCTGACATACTTATGACAGAATTGATCCAATGTAACTGTAATGCCAGAAAACGGCTGACCTGACCCAAATATTCATCTCCATCTACCGATCATAATGTTCAAAAATGTTCTTAGCAGCTGGACACAATCATTTTTGTAGCCAATGCTATCACTATTTCAGATGGCTAACGTCACAGATACCCATAAACGTATCGGAAAACCAGCTGAACCTTTCATCTCATTGCCCTGCCCCACCTCCTCCATGAAAAAAAGCTGTATTACAGCAACAGTTGTCCTACGGGTTGAAGGCACACTGATCTCAAAGCCTTGCCCACCACAGTCTCCTTTTCCTTATTTCAAAAAGAAAGTAAATATTAAGAGAAAAAAAACAGGTACAGATACAATTCTAGCTCTCTTGCTATATATGTGCAACTATTGAAAAAGTTCCCGTAGAGTCAATAAAGTATGTATCACAAACACTTTATATAACTTTTTTTCACCTGTGAGTATTTTTTAAAAAAATTATATCCAGAAACTTGTTTGACTGAGGGAGAGTGAGTCCACTGAAAGGAAAAAAGTTCTTGATACAATTTTGGGCATCCTTGGATGAGACATATGTGATCTCCATCAGGGCATTTCGGTTTCACTTGCAAGAAGTCGTGCCCATGCCTCCCCTGATTTTTTTTCCTCTCTTGCCATAACCTACTCTTTTGACTGCCTGTAAATCACTAAAGCAAGCCGCAAGCCCTGGGAGGCGTGGGCAGGCTTATCTCCTACATCAGAAACAAATCACAGCCGTTAGGGATGGAAAAGACCTATGAAATCATCACATCCAACCTCCCCAGCAAACGCACCGCACAGTCCCCGGACAGAGGACGCTTTTGAGAGGAACCAGATGCTACTGGCAGCTGTAGCCAGAAGGCCGAGGAGATATCCACAAGGGGGAATGTGTGGCCACAGCACAAGCAATTGCCCAGTGCCCTGGACAGCAAGGCTGCATCCCACCAGGAAGGCTGGAGGAAGGAAGGGTGAGCATCGTGCCAAACCACCCCTATGCACCAGGCAACAGGCTGAAGACAAAGTAAGCTAACACTCCAGTAGTATCCTGCCTCCTCACTGGTAAATATTTTTTCAGTTGGGAAGAGCTGTGCCAATAAATAATCTGAAACCTTACCTCATAACAAAATATGACTCTCTCCACCAAGATTTAAGTAGAAGCAGATTAAGAAGCACCACCCATTCCCAAGACAGAACACCAAATGTTAAAACAACAATACCGACTTTCCAGCCAAGTATTTAATGATAATGGTACAAAGTAGCTGTGTATTCCAGATTACAGAAAACTCATTTTGCCATGAAGCCTGCATAAAAATTTCATTTCCCCATAGTTAAAACTGACTTCTACAAAAGCCATTTTTAAATACATGATCAAAGAAAAAAATACTTGAAATTAATATTTGAAATGAAAAAGCTCCCAGTTTCCTGGGTATGAAATTAGGCCAGCTAGGATTTAAGAGACGGAATAAGGAATAGGAAACTGATTCAAAGTATTTTCACAACTCTCCTTATGAGAAAAAATAATTTTACACACTAGTTTACAGATCAGGTTCCACTTCAATCACAGCAATTCTAATTACTTTCCGCAGTCTTTTAATTTTTTTATGATGTCAATGCCTAGTTCCAGGTACTTTTTCCACCCAGGCATGTTCTCCTTACATGGTTTCTTCCAGCTCCATCACTGCCTCGGGAAGTTCAAGGTTTGCAGACCATTGGCACTCGAGTGGAACAACTATTCATGGTCTGCTCTGATCCCTTTGCCCAAGACGTGGTCCTCAGGGATGAGCTGCATCGAGCAGCCACCAGCTCCCTTCTACCTTCTCCTTGCCCAGACACTGACAGCCCCTTCCCTACCACATCGGCCCGAATGCACCTGCTCTACACAGTGCCTGTGAAAATTAGGTCTGCATCCCTACCGTGGGATGCTTTAGCAACTGTTCCTCTGGCTCACAAGCAGGGAGATAAATTTCAAATTTGAAATAACCTCCTTTGATAACCTCCCTTAAAACTAGAAAATCTAATTCTGACACAATAAAGGATTAAGCATGTCAGTTCCCATTCCTCACCCGCAACGCTGAACTGACTTTTGGGTACTCCCATTTTTTAATGACAACAAGTGAGATGTTCTTCAAAGTATGTCACTGGGTCATTTGTCAGGCACTCTGCAGTAACTGTGCTTTGAAGACTTATCTACACAAAAGCTTAACAGAATGATAACATCTTACCTATTTCCATCAAAATGCTCAAGTCTTTATGTCTTATGTCATAATTTATTTTACATCCAACATATCAATGCAAAAAGAATCGCGTTTCTTCATGGTAACTATGCACAGCTGTGCCAGAACCTTCTGGAATATACTGCTCTCTTTCATTTGTGATTTTATTTGAAACCCCAGGAAGCTCAAGAGTGCTGAAGGACGTGGCTCAGCTATGCCATGACAATTATTTTTAATAACTAAAGTCAAGCAAACCCAAAACAAAACAAAAAAATCCCAAAACGTTAATAATCTGTTCACCTTAAAATATGAAGCGGGGAGGGAAAAGAACATGCAAAGTACATCCATTATTCATGCAGGTCAAAGCAAGGAAATGAAAATGTACCATTATTTATGTTATTCCATTTTCCTGACATAGGACAGAAAAGACTTGCTTTAAAGGAGCACACTAAGTCAGATGGTAGATGGTATCATGTTGCATCAGAGCTACCTCTACATCCTTAGACTTTTCCCGAGGTGGACTAAAACATACCTTCCTCCTGATCATTTTCAAAATAGTTTTGCAAAGTTTGCAATAGTTTTGCAAAAGTGCATGAGTACAAGAGGCAATAACAAGTCCGTAGCAATACAAAACACGATCCAGAAAGACCTAAAACCTTAGTGCTGTGTCTCTCATTTAAATTGGTAGAATTTCTAAAGAAAACACTTGTTATTATGCCACCCTTTCAACAGAAGAAAAAATCAGCAGAGCTAGTCAAAGGTAATGTGCCCGCTTAAGGCAGGTGTTACCTCATGAAGTTTGGGATTAGTGTTTCAGTGCAAATGGGTCCGGCCAACAAATTAAGACAAATAAGGTACACCTACCCTTAAGTTCAATTTTTATTCTCCTGTTATAGTTTGCAAAACAATGCATCCCAAAAGTTCATATTCTTCATATGTTCATCCCTCACTTTCTAAGTGAAGTTATCACGCTACCTTAGGTTATACTTCCAAAGAAGGGCACACAGACTGTTACTGTAGAGATATCACGTTCAGATGAAGAACAAAAAGTGTACAGCCATGCCTAAATTCAGTTTATTTTTCAGTAAAAACAGAATGTGAATTAATTTTGCCAAGACTTGGAGAAAATCTTGACATCAACTAACACATTTTCTTACTTGGAATTCAAACAAATAAACCTCAAGAGAAGAAACCTTGTGAGCCTTTAAACCATTTTTACTTAATTAGTGCTTCGAACGAGTGAGAGAAAATGAATCCTTATCGTCAGTTACAATCATGTTATCTAACAACATTGTACTTCAAATGCAGGTTGCCACGAGACAGCAGTGCCTTGTTGTCCAGTGGTAAATCCGTGCTCAGTTTCTGACTCTCCAGCTTCTGGGAATATGATACAAGACAACTTTCCCTCCATGTATTAGATTTTATCTAGGAGCTAGAGTTAACTATGACAGAGTTACATCCAGCCAAGTTCAGCAGCCCTTTGAGGGTTACTGGTGACACGCTGCTCCAGGCTTACAGATGAGGAAGAGGAAGGTAGGTTTCCCCCGAGCTCTGCTGATTAGTCCTCCAGGCAACGCAGAAACTCCATTACTGCCAAAAGTTAAAATGAACTTGGGAAGACTGATGTGCAAAGCCTCAAACTGCCTCCTGCTTAGGCCTCCTATTCTGTTTCCCATCAGCGACCTGCTGCGAGAGGTAACCTGCGGGGCGTGCCAAAAAAGCAAAGCACGGTTCTGGGAAAGCATCTGGAGGGAAGGAAACAGATCTCTCCACAGCACATGGACAGCCCTGCACAAGCAGCTCTGGCCCGGTCCAAGTCTTTTGCTGTGAACCATTGGAAACACCTCTGGCCACCCCGTGACCCGTCCCATCCAGCCCAGCACAACCCCAGGCAATGAGAAATAATTAAAGAATGGACCCAGCTAGTATTAAGTTCACAGTGCTCCCAGCTCCGAGAGGGGCATCTGTTTCCTACGAGCCGTCAGTCACTTGAAGCACAGAGCTGGGACAAGCCCGACGAAAACATCTGCAGCTGTGAAAACAGAGGTTTGCCAGAGAACTTTCTAACTATCACAGCTGCTTAAACCCATTTCCTCCTCCTGTCCTTGCCTTCCCGGCCCAGAGGTTGGACACCATCATTTTGCATTGGCTGCCACCTTGTGGCATGTGCTACCAAATCTAACACACGAGCTGTCCCCTTCCACCTCACCCCAACAGCCACCCCCAAACAGCCCCTGGGGTACAAACACCTCGTCCACAGCCGGTATCCAAACCCCCCTACACGCACCCCAAGGACAACACATTCCCAGTTGTACTCTTCAATGAAACTTGGGACTAAGGAACAAACTGGGAAGTTTGACAGGAAATCATGTCAACTTCTAAGTTGTTTCTGAAAGCTCTGCAATAAGCAACCAGGGAGACCACGTGAACTAAATCCTTCAGTGGTCCATGGTCCATGGTTCCATGGTCCAGTGCGCACTGGTAGCCCAGAAAGCCAACTGCATCCTGGGCTGCATCAAAAGAAGCATGGCCAGCAGGTCATGGGAGGTGATTCTGCCCCTCTACTCTGCACTCGTGAGACCCCACCTGGAGTACTGTGTCCAGCTCTGGAGTCCTCAAGATAGAAAGGATGTGGACCTGTTGGAACGGGTCCAGCGGAGGGCCACGAAGATGATCAGAAGGATGGAGCACCTCTCCTATGAGGACAGGCGGAGAGAGCTGGGGTTGTTCAGCCTGGAGAAGAGAAGGCTCCAGGGAGACCTTATAGCAGCCTTCCAGTACCTAAAGGGAGCCTACAGGAGAGCTGGGGAGGGACTCTTTGTCAGGGAGTGTAGTGACAGGACAAGGGGTAATGGTTTTAAATTGCAAGAGGAGAGATGTAGATCAGATATCAGAAAGAAATTCTTTATAGTGAGAATGGTGAGACACTGGAACAGGTTGCCCAGAGAAGTTGTGGGTGCCCCATCCCTGGAAGTGTTCAAGTCCAGGCTGGATGGGGCTTTGAGCAACCTGGTCTGGTGGGAGGTGTCCCTGCCCATGGCAGGGGGGCTGGAACTCGATGATCTTTAAGGTCCCTTCCAACTCTAACCATTCTATGATTCTATGATTCTAAGGTCCTGAATTTCTCTGAATCCTTTTACAGTTCTCTTCAAAGATAAAGATTGTGACCCTCCTTGTCCCAAAAGAGGCAGCGGTTTAAAACCTTTTAAGACACAAATTCAACAAAGGTAATTTCACAGTGATAACTGTATCATAGGACAGGAAGAAAATGAGCGTCAGTTTCGCACCAAGGGAAAGACTGTATTTGTTTTAAGTTGCACCTCTGGATTCTTTCTCTCACAGCTACCTGTGTACAATAATGAAGTTGTTAATAGCTGCTGCTACATATGTAATATTCTGGTAGAGGCCCCTGTTTGCCCGAGCACCACTTCTGAGCAAGCGGGAAGGAGAAGAGGAAAGGTGGTAACCCACAGTGGGTACCAGCGAGCTCCAGTGTCCCACTGCTGCCCACGACTGGACGAGGAGTCTGCCTCTGGGGAATGGCTGACAGGGATGCCTGGATGGTGGGGACGCAGGATGACCCCCGGGCACTGGGTGGGCAGGCAAACACTCACCTTGGTCCGCAGCTGAGGGGCTTTCCACCGGCAGCTCCCGGTCGCCGCTCCCTCCCTCTGCAGCAGGCACTGCAGGGCAGCCCCCACCGCCCCGTCGGCGCCCACCAGCAGCACCGTCTTGCCACCTGCAGGACACAAGGCAAGCCGTTCAGCTGCTGGGACACAGAGCTGGAGTGCCTGCAGCACCTCCCTACCTTCAGCAGGCCACCCACTATCCAAAGCCAGAGGAATTAGATAGATTAGATATCCGGAAGAAATTTTTTACTATGAGGGTGGTGAGACACTGGAACAGGTTGCCCAGGGAAGTTGTGGCTGCCCCATCCCTGGAAGTGTTCAAGGCCAGGCTGGATGGGGTCTTGAGCAACCTGCTCTAGTGGAGGTGTCCCTGTCCATGGCAGGGGGGTTGGAACTCGATGATCTTTGAGGTCCTACCCTAACCATTCTATGATTCAATGATTCTATGAAAGCCCTCCAGAAGAACCAGCAAAGCAGCTCAGGACAGAGCCCTGTGTCTCTTTCAGAGCCCATGCAGTAACACCAGCCGCAGGTCTTAAATTGCTTCCTGGCAACTCTCTAATCCAAGTAAGCAAACACGGCTCTTCTGGTTTTCTGGTATTTTATTTGCACAAATCCTTTCATTCATATTTGTTACAAAGTACATTTGACTTCCCGCTCGCAGTTCTGTTACAGAAATCCTTGTCTCAACAACTGTGAATCGCTGTAAGAGAGACTGCTTCTGAAACGCTGCCTTAAACTAACAGCGTCTTCACACACTGTAAAGCCACTTGTTTAACTCTGCCATTTCAATGTTACCATTTACACATCACAACCCAAACCAAAAGATGTGCTCGGCAGTTATTTACAGGCAGGCTTGGGTTTCTCCAACGGTTCACACTAATCAAACTTGCCAAGTGAAATCCCTACGTGATGTTTGTATGTTTGGTTTTGAAGACTCGGATGTCTCGGGTGGCTTCAGTGAGATTAAGTCTGCTAATGGCAGGTAATCCCTGCCTAATCTCCAAAATCTGCAGGGCTGAAACCCATTTCTGCAAATACTACAACCACTACTGAGGTTCCTCACTAGCAGGAGACAAATATATATGTCAGGTGGGAAAAGAACACAAACCAGAAAACACAACAAGGAGAAATTACATTTGTCTCTCCATCAGGATTAAAACTGAGAAAATTAGTTAGGCTAAAATCAATGTCCTACTTACGATAGGAGGTCTCACCTAAATCTTCAAGAAGCTCCATCACAGCACACACCGTGGGGGGAATTAGACAGTCGTAGGCATCACCGCGCACCAAGCGCCCTAGGTTTACATCGGACAACCTGCAGTGGAAAAAGATGGCAATTAAAAAAAAAACCCAACAGTTTGTGTAACATAAATCCTCAGCAAAGCTTGTACCATGGCTAGCAGCTAATCCCAAGGACAAGCACCCCTCATAAAAGTAAATCATTTGATAGTGATGTACTATGGCTAAGCTCTATCACCCCACATCCCAGTTACACACAGAGAGGCTGGGAAACAGATCTCTGAGTTTGAACAAGCAACAAGAGCCCACAGGCAGCTCTTTACTGGCCACCCATGGGACACTGGGCCAAAACACCCCAGTGGTGGCAGTGGAAGCTGCCTGGTGCTGCCAGAGCCACGCTGAGCTGGAGGCAATTCCTCCTCCTGGGTTCAGCTTGGCTTGATGGGGGGACTCTGGTGCTTCTGTGCTGCACTGTGTTCTCTCTCATACAGAAGGATGCTCTGAATTCACCATTCTCTGTCAATCTCCAGTACTCCAGAGAACAGAAAGATAACTAATTTGCAAGATTTTCAGATTTTTTTCCCTAACGTGAAACAAAAAAGGAAAGAGCTATAAAAAAAAAAAAAAAAAAAAAAAAGGGCAACAGTCTGCAGTTGAGAGCAAAAAGGCTGCAAGAGCAGCAAAGTGGTAACCCAGGCACCTAAATCATGCCAGAGGTCTCTCCAGAGAGCAGAGTAACTCTAGACTGATTGAAAAGTTTAGTTAATGGGTCCGAACTATTATAGCCCACTCACCCACCGTGAGAGAGTGCTGTAGGGAAGTTAAAACCTTCTCTGCAACCTTTCCATCACACTTCTTGTGAAAAATTTGGGAGTTGTGTTCAGTACTGAAATACCTTAAATACCTTAAGTATCATCAGTGAATCAGAACATCGTTTTTTATTTCTTTAAAAAGACCATGTCCTGAATATACAGTGTTATTATAAAGATGAAAAAGATAATGATCAAAATGACTTCAGAAAAAGGCTCCTCATTGATTCAGCAGCATCTTTTATCACTGCTTAATAGCACAGCTAGACACATTGACTGAGGAATCCATTAATGAAAAGCACAGGGGAAAATTGATTTTACAGAGCCATCAGCCTTGAGTGTGCTCATATTATTTCTCAGTGCTTCACTTACCCATCCACATCCTTCTCTGGTTTCACAGCGTTTAATACCTTACTGCTAATCAAGCTTTCTGGGAGGTCAAGGGCAAGGCCCTGCACATTAGGATCCTCATTAAGTCTCAAGATTTCATTGACAATCTAGGAAGTTAATAAAAAGCATTAAAGATCAGAACAACAGACAAAAGAACAATCAAATTAGAAGGGGATAAAACCTGCATTTTAAAACTACCTTATCACCACCTTTGCTTCGCTCACATATTACAGCAACTTCTAAATGAAAAAGCAATAACCTGCTTTCCTTGGTTTATAGTTCCACCACTTATCAAATTAAGCCACCCTGACTCTATTCTAAACACTTTGCAAGGCCAACATATATTATGTGATATTACTCTGCCAAAAGCGTCTTGTCTTTCCCCATTCCAAATCTCAGCAAAAGCTTGACACTGTAATGGCTTCAGAAGATGCTTTTAAAAATAAGAAGCCTTGGTTAAAACATAGTTCAAAATAGGACCAGATTGTGTCCCAATAGGACATGGACAAAAAGTTGTTAACACTGAAAAAACCAATTATACAAGAGAAAACTGATTTTATTAAACCAGCATATATTGTTACCAATTTTTTCTTCTCAAAAACCCCTGCTCCTAAGAGCTGACGGTCATCTTGTGAAGAACTGTTATTTTGAAAAGGCACTGCACAAGAGTTTGTGAATTTCAAGTACTAACCAGATACGAGTTCAAATGTTTTATAATTGGTCGTATTTGACATCTGAAACTGCACTACCTTGATTGCATCATCTGTAAAGTGCAACACTGATCCAAGAGGAATATATGCTATTCCTCTGTGACCATAAAGAATTCAATGGAATAAAACATGCTGAAATTTGCTCATGTGAGAAATGTCATGTCAGCGTGTCTTTCCATCATATAAATAAAATCAGTGTGCAATCACCACAAAGGTGTATAATTTGATTATTATCCAACAGAAAATGAATATGAGTTTTTCTTTTCCTTCACTACTACTATGCCTTCCTAAAATGCTTTTCATGTGAGCTATTCAATACAGCAGTGAACTCTATTGCCCACACACCTGATATGCTGCAGTCAACATTAAGCTAGGGGAATTTGGAAGGGGTTAGACTCTCTGCAACTCTGATCCAAGAGAACGTGCTACTTTCACGTTAACAAAGATTATACAAGCAGGTCACTGTCCCTTTAGTTTGCTGACTTCTGAGACAGAAACAGGCAAGAAACATAAAAATATTAAGACCCTGTGCCATTTGACAGCAATAGGACTGGTATACATTCTAACAGAAAATAAGGATGAGTGTATACAGCAGAATATGGATGTGAAAACATCCACATATTGCTTAAAAAAATTCTGAGATGCTACCAAATGTTGGGACTTACACAGTAACTAAAGGAAACATAGTTCATAAATAGCCTGAATTGAATTAACCTTGAACTATATTCCTGCTTCCTGGGAAAATAGCTCAGTGTTCCATTTTCATTGCATGGTACTTGAATTCAGTATGTGGATTTTAACAGATTAAAAAAATCACCCTTGTCACAGTGAGCAAGCAGGAGAGTAAGCAAGATGTTACAATCTTTACTGAAAGTAACTTTCTTCAAGTAACAAAAACACCCTGCTTTTCTCATTAGGTACACAGCTCAGCCCTTTCCTAAGATATTATTTCAAAGTAACAGCAACTACTGCTGCACAGTCACCTATTTCCTACTGTGTTACTCAGCAGATAAAACACATTTACTGACAGCAAAGTGTATTTGATCTTCATTTCAAAAGCCCACCCTTCTTAAATGGGTAGCCGACTACTCATCATCCACAAAACTGGACTCCTGAAATTCTTCACAATAAGCTCCTCTCACGGTATCAGGAAGCTGTTCTCCAGATTACACTGCAAACCACTAACATTTTAAAAACAAAGTGTACTGTAAAACAAAACAGTACACAAAACCCACGAGCCCGCAGGATCTCCAAACTGGCCAAGCACAGGGAGGCCAGCTGGGAACAGCAGCATCTTTTACTACACATTCCTTTGCTGGTTTTACTTTCAGACGCCTCAGGACCACGTATCTCAATACAGTTTGCTATATTTAAAACACACTTGATACTAGTGCTGTGCCTCCAACCTAATGCCTTCGACAAGGTAAGAATTCAGCCCTCTAGGAATTTGGGGCAGAAGATTTTTTTAACGCATACTGTAAACCTTACAAGATCAACAAACGGGCAAATAAATTCAACCCCCTCCTCCTCTACAGCCATTAATTTTTAATTTCCCTGAATAACTTGGGCTGGAATCAAGTGCAGTCACAGGAGGAATTGGAGGAGAGAGGATACCCCTGATGGTACGAGGGGACATGGACGCTGCAGTTAAATCCAGAATTTGGGGCAGAAGATTTTTTTAACGCATACTGTAAACCTTACAAGATCAACAAACGGGCAAATAAATTCAACCCCCTCCTCCTCTACATCCATTCATTTTTAATTTCCCTGAATAACTTGGGCTGGAATTAAGTGCAGTCACAGGAGCAACTGTAGGAGAGAGGATACCCCTGATGGTACGAGGGGACGGGGATGCTGCAGTTAAATCCCTTTAATTTCCCTGAATAACTTGGGCTGGAATCAAGTGCAGTCACAGGAGGAATTGGAGGAGAGAGGATACCCCTGATGGTACGAGGGGACGGGGATGCTGCAGTTAAATCCCAGACATGACAAAAAACCATTACTCTGCTGATTCTGCCTCAGCTTGCCAGGGGACAGCAGACAAGCCTCTTCATTCTCTTTATTCCCATGCTTACCAATAGGGGGATAACACTTGCTACTTCAACTAAGGCAGCCCCAACCCCAATTTGAGTTAATAGAGAGCAGTGCAAAGCCAGCAATAAAGACAGGTTTATGACAAAAGCCAAGAAGGAAGAGTCCTTCAGGTACTGCAGTTACCTCATCCTTGCTGCAGCCTTCAGGGAGACAGATGTGAGTAACACGCAGACCAACCTGCCAAAAGAAAATCGGTATAATTACCAAAGGCAAGTAGCTCCTGATTAGTAACAAGTGTAGTGGCTAAAGCTTACCTCTTTGGCAAAGTTCTTGTTTATTTCTTGAATGAAGTGATCATTGTGTGCCTTGGGGAACAAAACAGAAAAAAAAAAGTTTTAAAATAATAGATTTACATTAAAAAAAAATATGTGAGTGCACTAATGCACAGGCCTATGCAAGAAACACGGTTGAGGATGTTTGTGTCTACTAGTAGTCAAACAAACAAAAAGGCCAGCAATTCTAAGAAAGCAGCGGAAGGCCATCCAGTAAATTTATTTTGGCTTGTCTAGTTTAAGCGTGTGTTGATTCCTGCCTGGCTTTCAGACAAGAGTGGCCACTTCCTTAAGATAAGCTTACCATTTAAGAAAGGTGCCAGTCTGTACCTGAAGATATCGTTCTCCATCCATCCATGTAACAAGGATGAAGCAGGCAACAGCAATGCTAGTGTTTCCTGCAGTGCCTCTGTATCACCTAACAACACTGGTTTGTCTTACCATCAAAATTGAGGCAAATCATTATCATCGTACATTACACTGAGTTCTGTCAGTTCATCCCAATTACCAGCAGGCACCTGAGCTGGGACAGAAGTGTCCCCTGGGCAGATTTACCTGGGAGACCATCTCACCCAGGAGTCCTCCTCCCTAAGGTTTCTACAGCTATATGCACTGTTTGTATTACGATATTTAACCATAATAATTACAATTGAATTGTACTCTTCCATTTGCTCTTGAATCTTAGGAGGTCCTTCAAATATTTTCATATATTGCAACAATTAAACTGAAAATCCAATATCCAGAACTAGAAACCTCCTAGCAACACAGATCAGTGAGGGTTCCACCCTCAGGAGCGTTAGCGGCTTCATAACAAAATGAATAGAACACATATAACACTTGTCTTCTAACCCAGACAGCAGGGCAGAAGTAAATAATTTTAAAAGTGTTGGTTATAATTTCATGAACACATTCTACATCGCTTTTTCCACAAAACCTGGTGCCAGTGACTTCCCGTTGGGAGTCGAGCCGCTCACCTCATGGCAGCTGCCAGCGCTGGCTTTGACTGTCTCTGGCATCACCCAAAACCATCTCAGCTCAAGCCCGTAACAACTTTCCAACCTAATTTTAATCCCAAATGGTCCAAAACTGCTGCCAATGGAAAAAAAAAAAAAAAAAAAAGGCATTTAAAAGGACAGGCTGCAGGGAGGGTGGCAGCTCCTGAGCAGGGGCGAGAGCTTGTCCTCCATCCCCCAGCCCAGCATGTCCTCCATCCCTGGCCCCCTGCCCCAGCCCAGCACTGCTGCATCTCTGGCACCGCACAGCTGGTGTCCCACTCCCCAGATGTGGCAGCGGGGGGCGAGGGGCAGCACAGAGGCTGCTCCACTCAGAACACGCGTGGAGCCCACGTCGCGGCATGGCAAGAAGAGATGGGACCAAGGACAGCCCAGCAGCTGCTCCCCTGTGCCAGCACATGGGGAACTGTGTCCCCACAACTGATGCACGTAACCACCAGGACTGCTTGAGAAGTTTAACTGGGATGGAGCCACCAGCAGTACCATACTGTCCCCTGCAATGTACCCCCGATTCCTGCAGCCCCCTCAGTGCTTCACTGAGCTTTGCAGGGCAACAGCTCCACTGCTGAACAGGATCCCATCACTGTGATTAGTCTTCAGCTTCGACAAAATTAAGAAGCAGCCACCAATCATTTCTTGCTGTCGAGCATCCCCAACCAAGGTTCAACAAGGATAACAAGCAACGCAGGTACCAATCTCGGTATCAATTCAAGTTCAGATGGCTCGAGAGGAAAAGAACCCATCTAAACCCATTCCAGGGTGGGCTCAGCCTGCAGTTCCTCATTCCCAGTGCTGCTGCAGAGGTGGTGACACGTTACACCAACTGCTGTTGCCCATGACTGACTGGCAAAGGAGACTGTTTCACTGCCCTCCCTCTGCTCCTCTGGGTGCAACGTGGCACATGGAGACCAACATGAACCTTAAAGCTCTGCCCATGATACCCAGGCACAGCTGTGTACCACAAGAGCATCTGTAGACTAAAACAAGTCTTCTTTGTACCAACAAATACATACTTTAAATGAGTTCTGTTTCAGTCCTTACCACCAGACCGGAGCCAGGGGTGACTGACGGCTGGAGAACAACATCTGGATGAATTTCATCCAGAAGGATCTAGGCCACATGTTCCTACAGCCACCTCATGATGCAAACCAAGTTGGATAAAACAGGGACAAGAGGCACATTTGTTTAAAGCACAGCCATGATTGAAACCAAAACACCAATGTAGATGCATCTCAAGTGATATTACAAGTGAGCAGGAACCTCCCCCTCCTCACACAATGCTCTCTCCCACCCTAACAATGGCCCTGCCCTCGTGCCAGCATAAAATGCTCATGGGGCCTTGCAGGAAACCAGACTGAGGGACTCATGTGGCTGAAAGGAAGCCCCCCCAGACCCTTCCAGCCCAGGGTGGATTTGATCACTGCCCCACTCCAGCTCAGGCTGCAACTGAATGGAGACAAGACAGAAGTGAGAAGCAACAGGTCACCGAGAAGATGGGTCACTGTTTGTCTAGCAGTCCTCAAACTTACAGCCCTAAAGGGCTATTTGAAAACACAGACCTCTGGGGAGGGTAAAAGATGGGAGAGCTTGTTCAGTCAGCCTCACTAGAAGACCTACCAGAATAAAGCTGGTGCTGCATTTCTTAGATTCAATATTAGCATTTGAAAAAATACTCACAGTTAGGTTTCAAAATTAAAGCCTCCTGGGTCAGAGATTCACCGTGCCCCTACTCAAAATCAAGACCACCCAAAATCAACGCCACTGTCCTAGGAAACAGGACAGAAACATCTTTGTCTGCACGGCTCCGGGTCCCACTCCGAATGACAAAGATCTTGAGTTTCTTAGCCTTGAAGCTTTAAGAAATCTGCAGAGGAACTTCTCTCAGCTCTGCAGGGACAGCAATCCTCTTCTACCCATTTGATTGCCCGTTCTCAAAGGTGGCAGCACCAGTGGGATGGGAAGGAAAGCTCTTCCAGTCCAGTCACACCACAGCTCTCAATTGCTGGGAGACTGCTTCACCTTAGAAAGCGCTGCTGCTTGGAAAGGATACTGACATTTTACAAGGAGCATTTATCCCACACAGGCCCTTTTGAGCTGCCTGGGAGTTTTCTGTGTCACTTTCCTCTCCTTAGGCCAGCAGCAGGGCAGTCCTAAGCTCCAGCTGCCCAAAGGCAACAGGGCTGGCAGGAAGCAGCAGGGTTTTATTTCCTTCACCCTGGCCATGTTATCCCAGGGGTGGGAAGCGAAGAGGGGCCCGCATTTCCAGGCACGTAAACCCTTTTTTCAGGACTGCAACAAAAGCTTCAACTAAATGAAGGTTGAGGACAACTGCTTTAACTTAAGGATATCAATCAGCGCAGACCACTGGTGAGAAAAGGCAAGGTCATCTGTACTTACAACAGGGAAGACTGTGTCAGCAAAGGGAGGAATGAATAAAATCACCCCCTTCCTTTGCAAACCCTTCCCACGACCTCAGCTTTGCTGTGGCCGTTTCAGAAGGGCTTATGAGACCCATCTTCCTCCCTCGATCCCTGGAGGGATCACCCTCCTCCCGACGCTTCGCTCCAATAAAGATTACTTTCTGCACCGTCGTGCTCCAGAGGTTTCAGACAAGGCAGGGGACTGCCAGGGAGCTCCCGCAGACAGCGAGCCCCTAGGGACACCGTACCTGAATGATGGCAAGCGTCGGCTCCAGCCCAGGGTTCTCCCTCTTGAGAGAGGCCAAGGATTTCTTCGCCTTCTCGGTGATTTTGCTGCAACACAATAACAACAGGGAAAATTTTAACCCAGTAAACCTTTCTAGCACCAGTCAGCAACGTGGAAAAACCTATGTTAGTCAGCAATATGAAAAAACCGCTTAGGCACATATGCTTTTCATTACCAAAATTGCTTGGGGATGTAAACTGTGAAGGCTGGCACCCAGCAGGCTGGTACGGGAAACTGTAACAGACCAAAATACGTGTTTTATAGCTGTGTGTGTCATCACTCTGGCGTGCCCAAAACTTTATAGCTCGCCTACGCCAATTCATCACACGGCTTGCCCAGACCCACTGTGGGAAGGGCAGCAGGGACCCACCACCCCGAGCCCTCGGTGGGTCCTTCGTGTCCACACCACGCAATGACAGGTACACCTGGGGCCACCACAGCTTAACGCGGGCATCACCCGACCGAAGAGCAGCAACCCTGGCGCTTCTCGTGGACGTGCCATCCCACCACGTCTCATGGACGCTGCCATCCCACTGCATCTCATGGACACTGCCATCCTACCACGTCTCATGGACGCTGCTCCAACCCGCAGGGAGACAGAGGAGCTCTGTTTGCCGCCCCACTTCTTGGAAAAACCGGTGGCAGCCGGGCACTGGAAAAACCTTCTGGCTGCCGGCTCTCCTCTGTCACCTTCTGCACCCACAGACCATACCTACCCAGGAGACCCCTGGAAGACGCCTGTTGGTCCGTCTGTCCCTCACCCAGCAGGGAAGACAGGAGGAAAGCACAGCCCAGAGCCGTGTTTTGCCACCTCGTAACCACCCCCTGGCAGAAGCCAATGACCAATTCAGGTCACCGCCGTGGCAGACAGGCTGTCCCGGCTGAGGCTGAATGGACGGGGCGGGGGGGGCA